TTCTGGGTACCCGTTAGCCAATGGTATCATTTTTCATAACTACCATACAATATCACAACCAGACATTGATGGTGACGGTCAAGCTACAGAATATTTGCACCACCTCGCCCTTTGAGAGCCTCTTCCCACTTCCCACTTGCATGCATCCTCTCCCTAACTCCTGGCAACTACTAACCTGTTTCCAGTTCCATAATTTTGTCATTTCAAGAATATTATATAAATAGAATCATACAGTACGTGACCTTTTGGAACTGGCTTTTTAAATGCTGCAGAATTCTCTGGAGATTATCTCCTTTGGAGATAACAATGACATTAATTTTTGATTTTCTGTAGTAATCTTACAGATTCCTGACACCTGTTCATCTTTTTTCAGTCTATTTTCTCTCTTTTGTTCAAAAAGTACTGGATAATTTCTCTTGTTCAATCTTCTAGTTCACTCTCCTATTCTTTCTCCTATCCTCTCCATTCTGCTATTGAGCCCATTCATGGAGGGTTCATTTTGAGTTCTAAAATTTCTTTGTTTTTTTCCTCATATCTTCTGTTTCTATTTTTTAATTTGTTTTAAGCCCATTAATAATCGTTTATTGACAGGAGCCATGATAATAAATAATTAGAAAAAAGCCACAGTTTTTTCTATGGCTTTTTTCTAATTGTTTATTATCATGGCTCCTTTAAAATCTTTTTCAGATCATTGTTGTTGACATCTATTGACAATCTTATTTCATTAGCTTCAGATCATCCTGGTTCTTGATCTGATGGTGATTTTTATTCAAACCTGGACATTTCAGTATTATGTTATGAGATTCTGGATCTTATTTCAACCTTCTGTTTTGTTTTTCTCTCTCAGCGCCCTGGCAATGGGGTGCGGGGGATCGGGGGGCACTGCTTGGTGATTACTACGTGCAGGTAGACATTGAGGTTCTCCACTCAGCCTCCACTGACACATGCAGGTAGGTGGGAAGTCCTTGTTAGTGCTGAGTTGGGTGAGTTTTGGTTCTCCAGAGGGTCACCACTGACACTAGGGTGAGAATGGTCTCATTACGGATGAGAAACGCCAAGTGTCCTGACTCTTCTAGGCCTCCTCTGACACCACCAGTGGTGAGCAGAAGCAGTGCCTCTTATGACTAGGTGAGAGGTGGAAGCCCAGGTTCCCTATGTGATCTCCACTGACACCATGGGATGGAGGGGAGGACCTTATTACCAGATGGGGTAGGGTAGTAGGGAGGTAAAATTCTCCCTACTTGGCCTTTGACACCACTCTGGCAGGAGTTTTACGGTGCTTCTTACGGCCTCCTGAGTGTGGAAGTCTAGCCTTCTCACTCAGCCCTTGTTTGCTTAAGCGAAGGTGGAGCCACAGTTTTTTCTATGGTATTTGACTGGAGTTGACCAGTTATTGTCCAAAAGTTTTCTGTCTTGCTAGGTTGTCCTTTTCCTGGTCTTTTGGCTAGAAGAGCAGGTTTTTGTTTGTTTTGTTTTGTCTGCACTTACTGATGTTTTTGGGTTGCTGGCTTTTTTACTTCCGAGTATGGGACATATGAAGTAAGAAGAAACTCACTATTTTTTTGTTTCTTGGGACTCTAGATCCCTAGCTGGTCTGCTTCTTCTCTCCACCTTTCAAGTTGTCTTATATTTGTCTTGTATATAATGTCCGGGAATTTTAGTTGTACTTAGTGAGAGAGTAAGAAAAAGTATATCTATTCCACCTTCCTGAAAGCAGAAGCCAGTCAATAATTTTTTTTTGATTACTGCATTTTTTATTCAACAAATACTCTCTTTTTGTGTTCTGTAGATAAGAATCTAAATAACTCAGAAAAGATCGTGGACCCAGTCAAACTATGTACCCAGAATTCAAACACTTTTTACCTTCATTACTGCTACACTGTGGTCCATACCACCCCCATTTCCCATCTGAATTACTACAATAACCTTATGACTCCTTCCCCCTTGGTTTCCTACTCTCTATATTTAATACAATAGCCAGAGAGACTCTATTAAAACATTAGTCTGATTATTGCCTAATATCTTTCAAGGGCTTCTCACTACCAAAGCCAAAATTCGTACAATGCCCTACAAGGCTCCACACATCCTGTACTCTCTTATCTTTTTTGACCTTATTTCCTCCTGTTCTTCCCTCACTCATACTGATGCAGCCATAAGTGACCTCCATGCTGTTCTTCACACATGTTGGCACATTCCTACCTGCTCTTTCCTTTGTCTGGAATATTTTTGCCCCAGATATCCTCATGGATAGCTCTTTTACCTCCTGCAGATCTTTGCTACCATATTTAAAGCTGCAGCTATACATCACACTCTCTACCCTCGCTCCAGGTCCCCCTTCTTGCTTTTTTTTTCCATAGCAATTTCACTTCTAATATAGCATATAGCTTACTAATTTGTCTAGTTTTGTTCATTTTCTGCCTCTCCCATTGAAATATAAGCATCATGAGAGACATGGTGTTTTGTCTGCTATTTCACTGCTGTGTTGTCAACATCAAGAACAGTGCCCGGCAAATACTAAGTGCTCAGTAAATATCTGTTGAATGAATAAATGACTTATACATATCTAGGTTTCATTGAGACAGAAATACTTTCATGACACAGCAAGAGCTCTGATTGACAGCAGCTCCGATGATACAGATGAACTCTAATAGATATTCCTTTAGATGCATTTACACAGGGATCCCTGTTCTAGTGTTACACCACTTTATTTTTTATAGATTCTTTCTCCCCCTGCTTCTTCCTTCCTTTCTCATTCTAACCCCACTACCAATTATAAGATTTTCTCAATAATCTCTAAGCTAAAAAAAATAACAAGATTGAATCTGATTGGTCCAGTGAACTGTCACCATGCCTTAACTTGGAAAAATTTTTATATCAGATCACATTACGGGTTTGCAGCCATGGAGCACCCTTCGGTCAGCCATGGGTCAAATGGTATAGTATGGGACTACCTCTTTTGGACAAATTGCTTAGGGCAGTTCTCTCAGAAGTGGGAATTGGACAAGACAGAGGCCCAGAGAGGAATAGATTCTTCTCTAATATGCTAGGCAACTTTGTAGATTCATGAAAAATTTTACAGATTTAAAAATAAAATCCTCAGATCCTACCTTTGACTGTTGCTTAGGCAAACAAGCTACTTAGCCCACACCTTAGAAAAATGGGAACAAAATGATGAGTCAGTATTTCTCAAAGGGATCGCTGACTTTTTTGACATTCTGTCCAATAGAGGATTTAGCTCCTTCATCCATGCAATAAATAGCAAAAGTTTGGTTTAACTGAACTTTTATTTTTGAAATAAAATGGAATTTCAATGCAGAACAAGCAGAAAAACTTTCCTCTTAGGTTTATGTATTGTCAGAAGAGTGACAAAATCCTTTGCTTTGCGGCATATCCTGGAAGGGCCTCACAAAACCTTTGAGAATTCTTGAGAGTAGGAGAGGTCTTGTGTCTCCGATCTTATGGCTCCACTACAGTGCTTTCCTGAGCCCTCTCAGGAGTATACAAAAACAAAGGAGAAACGTTAGTACCAACTGCTGCCCAGAATGACAGGTAAGGGACAGCAGTTTGGAATCGGTATGGATTTTGGATTTTGGGTTTTGGGTAGAAATGTTTTTTGGCCCTACTCAAGGAAAAACTGTTTCTAACAAACAGAGCCTAATTAAATCTATTATTTAATCTCTCACTTTTTATGTAACATGATAAATACATTATAAACAAACTGTCCCATGACAAGCAGCTTTCAAAACATAACAAAAAAGTGAGAAAAATAATATTAAGCATATTTTCTTCTCTAGAAAATGTCTATCACATCAAATAGCTGTTTGTTATTATGTTGTTTGGTCGACTTTTTCTCCCATACTTAGAGATGAAAGGAAAAAGCTATTATGAATAAATCATGGTAACATTACCAAAGCTCAAAGAACCAGTGGAATGATTTAATATGAGTACATTTAATTTTGGAGAAATGGAACCAATTTGAAATTTTAACAGAGCCTTTTGTTTTCACTTTTCTTTAAAATCATTTCCCTATCCTTAGTGAACACAAGATATTGATTACTAAGCAAACATATATTTACTTTTCATTGAACACCTCCAAAAATAGAGCCAGAGTTTGCCTTTTGTTGGTGACACATAAACAGGTGCTATTAAGCAAAATGCACACACAAGTAGCTCAGCTTTTTCTGTTCTCTTACCTTATGAAATTTTCCTTTATAATTGAGTAAGCTTTTAATTCCCTTGATGAGAATGCAACACTACAAATTGAGAGGAGATGGATTAAATTGTAGTATGTCCGAGCTGATGAATTATCTGCTGATGAGAGTAGAATGACAAGCAATTACCATGCTTTTTTTCATCTATAATTTGCCTAATTATCCTTACTTGTTTAATTATCTTGGATAGAACATGAGGCCAATAAAATTTTCAAGACAAAATTTTGTATCAATTTAGTACAACTTATATTGATAAACAGCAGCTAAATAAAATAACCAGGATACAACGATGTCAACATTTAAAAAGTCAGTTTTATTATATTGCTTTGTTAATATTTAGTGCACTTACTGTCAGAGCCATCTGAGGCATGGTGAATCTGGGGTAATTATTAAACAAAAGCCCTGAGAGAGGTCATGCTCCATATGTTTGCTTTTCCCCCTTCCCTCTGGTTCTAACAACACCAAGAGGCTATAAATTCCTCAGAAATGAAACACCAAGTTGTCCAGCAGACAGAATGAGATAAGAGTGCAGCTCTGCCAACCTTTGCTAATGAAGAACCATAGGCTTCTTAGACATAATTCAGTGATGAAGAGTAGATGGTACTATTCTGAATCCAGAGCTTCTTGAGGGTGAAGAATGTGTGATTCATCCCTCATCATAACTCCAGCACCTAGACTGTGCCTGTCACAGTGCAGTCAAACAACTAAGTTCTGGCAAAAGTGAATACATGTAGGAATGAATTCTATTTCTCATTCCACATTGTAATACTCGGTTGTCTCTCTGACATCTTTCCTCCATCAAAAAAGGCTTACTTCATATCATTTCTTTAGTATAAAATTAGAGGGCTGGACAATAGGCCAATGGTAAGAAAGTACATTCTGCAAGATAAGTCCTACTCATCTGGACTGATGTTTTTGAGTACATCAGATGGTCTTTGCAGGAAATAACTGGTGACAGCTACATGATCCTGAATAAAATATAAACTTCTCTCACTGGTGTTGTAAGAAACGCCTGCGGTTCAGAATTTTCCTAGCAGAATGTCGATGCTTGGAGCAACAAGGACATCAGAAGCAGATGTGGACTTGCACACAAGGACACATTGCAGGGAGGGCGCACACGCCCGACCGATTCCGAGACTTCTTGCTCTAGGCACTAGAAAAGGATACTTTAGAGGATAAGAAAAAGATACTTGAGAAGAAATAGCTGAGAACACGGTGGTGGCTTTGAGGCTGAATCTGGGAGTTGGCTGTAGCTTGTATTTACTAACCCGATAGTAACTATTAAGAAATTACAAAGCCAGCATTGTAATTTAATAAATAGCCATGGAGACAGGGGTGGGGGATGCTAGCATGGCCATTCCTCTTCTCCCTTATCCATGTAAATAACACATTTCCAGTCTCCGACTCTTCTTCCAAACCGTCTCCGCAACAACTGGTAAGTTTCTTATTGCATGATCTAAAGGAGGGTTGGTCTTTAAATAAGCTCATGTAAGATCAATCAGTTATTGAAAATGTTATTGCTCCAACATAGTATAGAAGGTATAAATGTGTACTATGACAGTCTGGGACAACAGAAGGTACATTGCTTTATTAGTGTAAATCAAATTAATTCTGGCTTCATGCCTTCATCTGTCAGGGTTATGTGAAATTCTATTCTATGTTTTTGGAGGCTCCTCTACATCCTTAGAGGGAGTCTTTTATATTCATATCTATATAAATATATGTCAGTTCTTATTTCTCCACTCCTGACTTTCTTACTCAAAAAGCAGCATACATTATAAACTGTTATACACCACACTTTAAAAAAAAAATCTTAACATATCTCCTGAAACCTTTCCACATCAATGTGCAGAGCATGCTCTCATTCTTTTTTACAGTCTCATGTTATTCTATTTAGTGGCTGTACCAGACTTCACTTAACAAGACTTTTATTGTTCTCCAACTTTTGCTATTGCAATAAAAATGCTGCAATATAAGTTGTATAGACACTTCATTTCTTATATTCTAATGTATCTATGGGAGTCCTGTGTCAAAGAGCAAACTATATTGCACTATTTACCAGCAGTGGAGTGCCTCTTTTTGATGGGAAGATTGTAAACTATTGAGTCAGTTTCTTTAAGAGTTATGTGCCATTTGGTTTTTCTGTTTTGGTTTTTTTTTTTTTTTCCTTGAGTTAGTTCTTGTAATTTGTACTTTTCTAGGAATTTTTGCATTTGTCTAAATATGTGTACATTTTGGCATCCGATGCCTTGACATTTGGGGTCAGATGGTTTCTTGTGGGGAGCTGTTCTGTGCACTGCAGGATGTTTAGCAGCATCTCTGGCCTCTGTCCACTGCATGCCAGTATTACTCCCCACTTCAGTCTGTGTTTCCAATCACAGTATGTCTCTAGATATTGCCAAGTGTCCCCTAGGAAAGGCTGGGGCCAGAGGAGCAAAATTGCTCTCAGTTGAATTTTGGCAAGGATCAGACAGGCCTTTTTGAAGAATGAACTTTGGCTTTGTTAATTCTATTTTTTATTTTTCTACTTAATTAATTGCTCCTTTGTTTTCTTTCTCTGTTTAGACTTATTAATGTTTATTTTCCAACTTTTTATGGTTGATAGTGAATGCTTCAGTTTTCACCTTATTTTATTTTTTTAAATTTAAGCATTTAAGACTATACATTTCCTTCTAAGTATCACTTAACTACAATTCACAAGTAGATGAAATTATAGTCAGGTTTTAACTTTCAATTTTAACTTTAATTATCTCTTCTTTTAACCATAGATTATTTTAAAATGTTTTTATAATTTCTAAATTCATGGGTTTTTCAATTTATTTTTTAAAAGTTGATTTCCAATTTTACTTAATTGGCAAGTAATATGTCTGTGTAGTTTTGATCTTTTGACATACAATGAGACTTATTTATGTTTTAGAATGTGGTCGATAATTTTCATGTTTCATGTGTTCTTGGAAATACTGTCTGGTTACCTAATATAGTCTTCTATACAAGTCCATTATCCCAGTTCTCAAACATTTTCATATCATGTCTCACTGGGGTAAATGAATGAGATTGCCTGAGGTCAGATGAAATTGATCTGTAAGGCTCATGACCCACAACCTGTAACAAAGTAAAATGCTTGGTCTCTCTGACTCCATCTTGTTTGGGCCTACATTGTTAATGCAGAGTTCCAAATTAACTAGTGTTAATATAGTGTTCCAAATCTTCTAAATTCTCATTAAATTACTAATCTCTTAAGTACAGAGAAAGTTGTGTTTTAAATTTCCTATTTTTATACTTTTTCTTTGTAGTTATGTAAATTTTGGTTTTGTATATGGTATTAGGTACATACAAATTAGAATTGTTATATATTTCTAATAAATGTTCATTTTATTTATTATAGTTAATAAACTGCAATTATCTCAGTATTGCTTTTTGTTTTCATGTTTATTTTGCCCAACATTAATATAACTATGTCAGCTTTCTTTTGTTATTTGTTTATTATATATATTTTTATCTTTTTACTGTCAATATTTATATCCTTATGTTTTAAATATATTACTTGGAGGCTCATATGGGTGAATTATTCCTCCATTTCTATAATATTTGTGAAATATTATTTCTGATAAGTTAGTAAATTCGATCTCTTTGTTAAAACAAGAGAAATTATAGTCATAGGTTTTCATTTTTTCCGTTATGCCTATTAGAGAAGAGAAAAATGTCTTTTGTGATATGACCTACAAATTTTACAAGTATTCATATTGTTTAAAAACACTGAGATATGAGTTACAATCATATTATCAGGCCAAGTAACGTAACCAATCAGAATTTCAATTTTTTTTTTTTAGTTATTGTTGCTGGGAATGGCAATAGTCTAAACTTTTCTTCAACTCATACTTTCAAGGACAAATTTATATTAATAGAAGACTACAAGTTGGTAACAGTTATGAATATTCACACAGGTCCCCTTGTTGCAGAGGAAACAAGATTGATATGCTTGAGAATGTTCTCAGTTTAATACCTTAACAAATCAGACTGTTCGAATATGTTTTATAACAGAGAAAGCAGCAGAAAGCATTATAAAACACATTCAAACAGTCTGATTTGTTAAGGTATTAAACAAATACCTAACTTTAGGAAAGAAGGCAACATCTCTTCATCTCTTTGACTCCCTTCGTTAGAAGACTGTACTTTTTTTTTTTAAGGTGAGGCTCTGTTAACTTGATTACTTAACATAAAAAGTAACAAGCAGGCCTAAGACCTCATTTTTATATGCAGAAATGGAATAAGGAATGAATGGGATTTAATTATTAACAGTGAAAGAAGGTGCATGTAGCATTAATCTCCCACATTCTGATTTTGCAAATGAGGAATATGCTATTCTTCATTGAATGTAAAGAATGTAAGAATGACAAAATTGACAAAAGATGTCAACTAACACAGGCAAAGGTATTCCTTTCTTAAAGTGATCAAAGATTTAAAAACTTACAGAGCGGGGGACACTGGGGCACTCCTGGCAAGAGGAGCAAGTTTCCTTGCTCTCCTAAGACCCTTACAAGAGGTTGCAGACCTGCCCCCGGGTTAAAATCTGACCACTGCTCTTCTCCATTTCTTTCCTGTATCCAAGTTGACTGTGCAGATCGTTTGATTTTCACCTTTGCTAGAACCCTGTCTTCCAAGGTTGGCTAGGTTGTCTGAATTAGATCAGACTGATACCAGCTTGGTAATTAAAAATGTAACAAGTAATATTTTTCTTGACTATTTGATAATAGAATTTAGAGAGTTGATGAAGTGTAAATAGCCAAGAGAGTAATCATTGGTCTTTTAAAAACAGGCTATTTAATATTTATTTAAAATATCAGTAAATGTCTCACCAAATATTTTCTTTTAAGTGCTCTTTAAGGTACGATTTTATTCTTTTGATTGTATTTCCTCAGTACATGTGAATATAACCAATAACTATGCAAATTTAGTTTTCATAAACATATATAAAATATTCTAATTTTTAATGGAGAAAAAAACAAGTTTACACACTTGTGAGAAATTTCAATATTTATACTTCTGAAAACTGGCTTCTTTTAATCTTTAAGAATATTCTGAATATTCTGGAGCAGATTCAGTACATAAAAATATCAATATATCTCTCTTGGCCAACTCCACCTCACCCTATATGACACTATTTTAGCTCTCCTTATTACCTCTTAAAGAAAAGTTAACAAAAGAAACCAATATTTATGAATATATTAGCTAGATTAAGTCCACCTGAAAGTAATGGACAGCTCAAACTAATGATGGTGTAATTAAAACAGAAATTTCTTTGTCACGTTAAAAAAGTTGGAGATAGGACAAGGTTGGAATGATATTGCATGTGTTAGGGACTTAGACACTTCTTATTTCATTTCTCTAGTATCTACAGCCCATGGCTTCACCTTGTCACCTATATTAATATGATTGCTCAAATTCAGATACCACTTCTTGATTCCAGCTGGAGAGGATGGGGCCAAAGAAGGCCATACCAAACTTCAGGGAAAACATTGTTTTAGCAGCTATACATCTGGTGTCAATTGCATTGGACAAAGTTAAATAGGCAAGGAAGACTTTATTCAAGATTTTTGCAATAGAGGAAGGAAAATGAACTTAACTCTATGGAAACAAAAAACTAAAACATTTTCTAGAGATGGGTTTGGGGTAATCGTAGGCCACTTGTGTTTGCTAGTTGGCTTTATCCAAAGGAAAAGCAAACTTTCTCTCAACTCCCTGACAAAGGTAGTTATACCGTTTGGAACAAGGTACCCACTAACGTTAGTCTTCTCATCTCCCACGCAGACTGGGAAATAGTAGCACTATCTTTGTTTCATGTTTGCATTTCAAAGAAATAGTACCCAGGTCCTTACAAAAGACATTCCTGGGTCATCAAACTGTGAAGAGGCTTTTAAGGAAATTTATATACATTTCAAAGGGGGCAGATAAATAATTTGCAATTACATGTATTTTAAGTAAATACTCAAGAAAAAGAGAGATCAGAGGCCTATAGTCAGAAAGAAATCCGTCCAAAGTTTGTCAAGCTGAGAATATTTAAGGCCTCAAATTTGGGCACAAAATTAGTTTCTAGCTTTAATATTGGATTTTTTTTTTTTCCTTTCTAAGTTAGTTTTGGGTTTTGTCTTTTGTGAGGAATGAATATGACTTTAGCATTTAAAGCCACTGAATTGATGACCTCTATTTTTCCCCTAAAATTGAGATGAAAGACTTATAAAGAAAAACTGAGACATTTTAAAGCAAGTGGCATTAATAAAATACTTGCCTGTAAAAACACTTTAACATAAGCATTTTGTGGCAGATGTAAGTTTTAGTGTTCAGTGAAAACAAAAGACTTTCATTTAAGTGGAACTATATTTAAGTTCTTCCTAAACTTGAAGAGCTCTTGGTATGTGAAAGCTACCATAAATTTATATTATTTTCCAACATCTCTAAGGAATACTTTTTTTGTTTTATTTTAGTTAGCTTCTTTGGATTTTACATACTAGAAATTCAGCCACAGCACTTAAAGTAGACAGAGATTATTATGATTAAATAGTAGTGTGTAAGAATAATTAAAAATATAATAGTTGATTCCAATGTGCTTGGAATCAACTGAGGGAATTAGCTAAGCTACAGAACCAGCTCTGGATTTAGACTGCCTGTACTCAGTCCTGAATTTGCAATTTATCTGTGTGATAACAAGCAAGTTATTTTATCAGTCTTGGTTTTCTCATCTGTAAGGTTAGGGTTATAATAGTATCCATCTTTTAGGGTTTTATGTAATTAAATTAGGTATGCAGGTAAGCACTTAGTTCGGTCTTGCACTCAGCAAGTCCTTAGTTGTTATTGTTATGATAGTTATCTGATTAGACTAATTAATTATGGAGTCTTGAGCTCCATTCTCCACCAACTATCTTTTTGTGCTTACTCTTAGTTTCTGCCCCTTGTAATTGTGTCTTGCTTCCTAAGGCCTCTGTCTTATGACAACCTTCTGACTCTGTCCCCATCGATCACTGTTTAATCTCCTGTATATAGATTGGTTCAGAAGATGAATTGACTATTATGATTCAGGTACCCAATTCTGATCCAACCAGCCATGACTCCTTAGGTAGTAGGAGCTGCAAGTGGGTAAGCTGTTTTCCCTCAGAAAAGATTAAAGGAATGACAAGCAGCATTAGGAGTGCACCTCTGTTGAACTTGTATTTTTTCTTGTTCGCTTCTCTAAATTTTGATGTTTCCTGCTTTTAGTGTCTTCATATAAATCGTCTGTTCTGTTCATCAAGTGAAGGCGAAACCTCTGAGAGATTTAAAGTGTATTTTAAACTAATCACTCTGCCTTTACTCTGCCAGAAATAAGCTCTTTAATACCAAAGGGAAATGAGTTATTGCTCCTATTCTTGAGATTTGAATTAAACTTTTTGGGACCTTAAGACATTCTCAGTGAAAATCTCAAGACTCTGGAATTCATTTGTTTTCTAGTTAAAATTTCTTCTTTATTTTTCTCTGTACATTTTCTTCAGTAAAATGTAAAATGTATAATGACACCCTTTCTGGAACATAAGTCCTAAAAACTGACGTAAGTGAAGTATATATATTCCCTTAGTAATTGCATGATGGTCAGTAATAAATAGCTGATTAATTAACGCTGCAAAAGTATTGGTTAGCTTACAGAATTACACTAAATTATACTAAAAAATAGACTGTATAATTACACTAAGTTGTATAAGTTGGAGTTCTGCTTCAGGTCAAGATGAAATAACATCTTGGATTTAACCTCTCACTTGGATATATATACCTCTACCTTAAACAACTAAAATCCAAACAAAATATATGAGACAATAGTACCCAAGACATTTAACATCAGGCAGTTAAGGACAATGATCCTTGAAATGTGGGCAATAAATGAGGTGAATCCTACTATTGCTTGGAGAAAGTTTTCAGGTCCTAGAGCAGGTAAAGGGAGTGTAGATATTGCCCACTGACCTCCTGAACTGAGAAAATGAAGCTGCAAATCAAGATAAGCCCATACTGCAAAATATTAGAGAGGAGAGAGCTGCATATAGAGGAAACCTGGAGATCTTTGTAGAGTAGTCTCCTTGAGATAGTCGCTGAATACTGATCAGCGCATACATGTGGGAAAACTACTAAAGCTTAGAGAAGGACCTATCTGAAAATATTAGAGAAAACAGTGCCTATGGCACATGCAAAACTAGAATTAGTGATCGTTTTCAGCAACCAGAGTGGAAAAACCTCATAATTCATGAAGGCCAGAGCAGCCTTTAATCTGAATGAAACTTAGCCTACTACTGAAGCAAGACCCTGCTCCAGTCTTGTCCAACAAAGTTTAAAAGCAAGACTCTAAAAGATCAAATTGTGTCCAAACATATGCTGCCAGTAACAACAACAACAAAATGCATTTTAAATATAAAGACATAAATACATTTTAAAAAGATATAAAAAGATATACCATGGTAACATTAATCAAAAGAGAGCTGGAATGACAATATTAATATTAGACAAAGTAGGTTTCAGAGAAAATACTGCCAACAATATAGAGTCACTTCGTAATGATAAAGGGATCAACCCATCAAGAAAACATACGCTTCCAAACACTTAGGCACCTAATAATAGATCTTCAAAATACATGAAGCAAAAACTGATAGAATGTCATGAAGAAATAGATAAATGCACCAATTATAGTCAGGGATGTCAACATTCCCCTCTTAATAATTGATAGAACCCGTCAACGAAATCAGTGAAGATGTAGAAGACTTGAAAAACTTTATCAACCAAATTGACATAATTGACATTTATAGAACATTTTACCTAACAACAATAAAATGTACATTAATCTCAAGTGCACACCATCATGCACCAAGATTGACTATATTCTGCACAATAAGGGAAAGCTCAATAAATTTAAAAGGGTAAGCCATTTGTTTTCTGACCACAAGGGAATTAAATTAGAAATAAATTAGAAATCAATAACAAAAAGAGATCTGAAAAATTCTCAAATATTTGGAAACACACTTCTAAATAGCCCATGAGTCAAAGAAAAAATCAAAAGGGAAATTGGAAGCATTTGAGATAAATAAAACGAGAACACAATATATCAAAATTTGTGGGATACAGCCAAAGCAAAACAATATTTTAAACGAAGGCAATTTATGAAACTAAATGCCTATATTTTAGACAAGAAGAAAAGTCTTAATGATCTCAGCTTCCACCTTAAGAAGCTAAAAAAAAGGACAAATGAAATAACACAATAAACAGAAGAAAAAGATAATATAGATCAGAGAGCAAATTAATGAAGCAGGGAAAATCAATGAAAATATAAAAACAATAGAAAAATTATTTGAACAGTAATTGGTTCTTTGAATCAAGAAAAATGCAAGTAAATTTTTAGTATCAAAGAGAGGTGAAATCACTACAGATTTTACAGATTCTCAAAGTATAATATGGGAATTTTTTGAACAACATTATGCCAATAAATTTAACAACTTAGATGAGAGGGAAATTTTTCTTGAAAGACACAAACTACTGAAGTTCACTTTACAGGAAATAGATTATTTGAATAAGAGCTACTAAAGAATTTGAATTTGCAGTTAAAACCCTTCCCTATGACCAGACATCAGATATAATTGATGCATAAAACTCAAAATGTTATTGAGTAGAATTCAAATTATATGAAACAGAAGCAAAAAATTTATCTCTGGAGGCTAGGTAAGTAATGTAAGTGAATGATATGGAACAGTTATAGAAAAAAATAACTGCCAAAAGTAAAATCAAAATTTATTTTTACTAAACCATGGTATATATAAAATATAAGATAATATAAACATGTATGATAGCCAAGATTTTATTTTAATTGGAAAATAAAAACTTAAAGTCAAGCTGTAATTATTAATTGTTATTAATTTTATTTCTTGTGGTGTTTTAGCTCTTCTTTGGAATCAGAAGCCCAATTCCTTCTGACCTTAGATTTTACTGTTTCTGCGTGTATGTCCTATGACATTGTAAATAACTTCGAATATTTCACTTTGGCACTGACCTTTAATTTTACATAAATTCATAACAGAAAATAATTATTGACAGAATTAGGTGATTCCAAACAGAATTCTTACACAATATGCTCTTCCTTTCTCTCTCTCACACGGAAGACTCCTCATTCTTCAGTTCTCAGAATAAAAATTTCCTCTTCAGAGATTTTTGGTTTTATTTCACTGAGTATTAGATGTTGTTGGTGAAGTTGTGACACTGCCATCAAGATCAATTTGCAAACTTGATGTTATTTTACATTTTACTACTAGATATTTTTTAAGCGGATTTAAATAATGACTTTGAATAACTAATTTTCATGACATTACATTCAGTATGCAAGAACATAAGCTCTGGATGAGAGGTAAACCACCATCCCAACAAATGATCAGTCCCACCCTGCCAAAGCATGCTATGTCATATGGGAATCTTGTTTTCTTTAACAACCTTTTTCAATAAGAGCCGAATCACTGAGCTAGAGCACAATCCAGCTAGTTTACAGGTTCTTTCTTTGCACGAATCAATCCAAACAGTCTAATGGGATCATCATGAATGTTTTCTTCTACTGCCTGCTTCTCAGGTGGGAAACTGTCTGCCAGAGTGGTCTTAGAAAGGCTGGCATTCATTCCGTGTAACTGCTCATCTTTATCCTTGTCTGACAAGTAGGTATTCTGTTTCTTGGGCTTTCTGCGCTTCCCCTCATTGCTGTGATTTAGTGAGGCGTAAAACATCTGTGTTTCATCAGGACCCTAAAAAGAAAAGCATGTTAATTTTTCATTATTAACTCATTCTTTCACTTTGATGGCTTCTGGGAATTTCTAAGGCCCACAAAAAAAAAAAACAAAAAAAAAAAAACAAGCTGCTTGTTTTCTGAGCTTCAGCTACCTGGTTTTGCTAAATTTGTCAGTTAAAATGATAACAAAAAACAATAGTCAATTCAAGATTTTCAAGTGGAATAGAGTGCTTAGATGAACTTTTTGTGTGTAGTTTTATTTCTTTCTTATACTCAAAATATACAGAAACATTTTAGATGAACTCTTACCAGTCCCTTCCCTGCCTTTATCTCAGGGAATGCTTGCCCTATATTGCTCTTCCCAAGTAACAATACTCCAATGTGTTAAACTGGGAACAAGCATAATAAAAAGGAATTTAACAAATCACAAGATCTAATTTATGTATGTTTAATAATTAGTCATTTAATGATACTTACTAAAATCCCCATTTTTTCTACATTTTTGTGATTCATAAGTATAAAAATAACAGTGTCCAGTTATGTGACTGGTATCTGGCAAAAATTACATTTTCCATCTTTATTATTTATTCCTTGCTTAACTGTCCCCAGATCTCCTTTGAGTTCATTTTGGGTTGGTTGGTCTCAGAGATATTTATTTGCATCTAAGAGGATCTGGGAGTCCTCTCTGGCCTAGAGCTGGGTAAATAATAGAATAGGAAGAACAGGAGAGTAAGAAAACTTGGAGGAAGCAACAAGCTTGAAGGCAAGACCTTAAATTTGCTGGTAGAAAGCCTAGGATTGAAATTCTGGCTCTATAATATACTAATCATGGGACCTTGGGCAGTTTTTAAAAACTATTTTGAGTCTCAATTTTCTTGCTCATAAAATGAAAGTACTTATATCACAATGTTATAAGTAAATAAAGATAATATATAGAGAGGCTCTAAACACTGTACAAAAGTAAAGTAAGGTGTGGGATTATAATTATTCAAATTGGTAGGCTAGAACTTTAGGACAGCAATCGAATAAACCAAAAATTTCTGTATTAATTATTTCCATTTAAGAGCAGGACAAAATTTTATCAATTTGTGGGGATAAGGTAAGGAAGCAACACTTGGATTAACAAAACCCCTAATGCATTAGTAAGAATATCCCTGTTGCACTCATTTTTATGCTAAGTGTTAAGTGTGTTATATTCTCTGCAAGGAAGAAAAGACGGTTCTGTTTACAACTCACTGGCATTTTTGTCTGACTTTTTAATCCTAAAATAATTATTTCTGGAAAATTGCAATAGCTGCCTAACTGATGTCTTTGCTCTAGTCTCTTTCCTCTTTGCTTAACTTGTATATTGTCTTCAAATTATCTTCCTAAGGCTCAACTTTCATATTTTTACCATCCTGTCTCTGAAATTATAGCCTATAGACTAAAGTCTGAATTTCATATCCTGACATTCATGCTTTTGTATGCTCGATACTACTCTACCTTTTTTATTTTGACTCCGACTACTCTCCTATATAAACTCTGTATTCCAGGCCAACTGGACAATCCACTGCTCCCTGCACACAGTGCCTGCTTTTACCTGCTTTGCCCACACAGATAAAGGAGATGTCAGTGAAGTTCCAAAATAACCAGAAAGCACTCAGGAATACAAAAGGATAGATATCTTTTTTTGTCCAGCACTTTGTTCTTTTTTTTTTTTTTTAACCAATCCTTTGGGAAATTCTTTTCCTTTATCTGGTGTTGGATTACAATGCTGTACCCCAATTACAGTGCTATACCCCAAGCTCAGCACAGGACTAAGTCTGTGACCTACACTGGAGCCATCATACCATCCATTCCCCTCAAAACAGAAGCTGGCCCAAGAATGGACATGTGATTTCAGCAAAGCCGATTATATGGCATCTTTGGGATTGATGTACACGTGCAAGAATAGAAAAGGTGTTTTTTCTTGGATCTGGAAGGAAGAAAATCTGGGTCTACTAGTGGCTTGCCCAGCCTCAGTAGAAGAGTCTTTTGGTAATAGAAGAGAATGAAGTCAGTAACAGAGAGAAGCAGGAAGGAGAAATGAAGAGAGTTCTCATAGTCAGTCATCTCAAAAGCAAAATATACTCTTACAGTTCCCTGTCATATGAGCCAGTAATGTACCTCTTACGCTAAAGTGATTTGAATTGGGTTTCTGAACTTATAACCGAAAGTATTCCAAATGATATATGCCTGGTCAACAATTAGTCAACTTTATCAAGTACTGCAGAGTTCAAGAAATGTGATTCTGAGAAAGAAACGCAAATTGTACATGTAATAGTCATGCGTGACCTCCAGAGCGTTGTTTCAGTAGAGTGGATGGGTGGAAAATAAATTGCCAAGGGTAGAAGAATGTGTGTCAATGGAAGAAATAGAAACAGTAGAAGAAAGTAAGAATCACTTCAGGAATTAGATAAACAGGTTGAAGTAAAGTTTTGTTGTTTTACTTGTTTTTGGTTTTAAATATTGAGGTGATTTGTGCATATTTGTAAAACGAATAGTAATAATCTATTTTAAAAACATTAAAATGGAGACAAACAATTGAATGTTCAAGAGCTTGAAAGAAATAGGAGAAATGGTCAAGAGCATAAATAGAAGTATGGGCTTTGGAAAAGAGAGAGAGTGCTTCTGACATAGAAGGGAAAGGAGAGATTGGTGAGAGATTTTGACATGAAGATAAGAGAAGAGCAAGCTCATACTTGTGCCTCTCAAATTTTTTTAGAACTTGGAAATTCTGGTGGACTCATTTTATTGGGTTTCTTGATGAATTCTTACTAGTTAATAGTAGTTTGAGAGGCTGGAATTACAAGTTCTGAACTGTACACATCATCTTCAAAGGGCAAGGAACTTATTTCTATTTTTCCAACAAAGACTTTATCCACAAGCTTTATGCATAATATTATAGGTTCCTTATGTTTTTGTCATTGACAGTAGTAACAAAGTGAGTACTGTAGAAGCAGACTGGGTAGCGTTTTTGATGATAATGATCATTCTAATAAAATGGAATTGGGCAAATATAAAAAGATTACTTCTAATTTGTGATACTAAATTTGTGAGAAAGGTGCAATAGAATAAAGACTAATCTCCTTAGAGTATCTTTAATTATATAATTTATTAAAAAGCAGAGTTTTAAAGACATTTTAAAGCTTTGTACAATTTCCACATTAGTAAAAACCTGATGCAGCTCTAATAAAGTTGGCCTATTCAATTCACATGTATTAAATAGCAACTTCTATTCCAAATTCTGTTCTTTTACAGCTAAGGTGATATGAATCTCTACATTTCAGATCATGTGGCTATATTTTAACCTTCTTTTAGAAGTTTTCTTTTTATTATCATGAATTTAGCAGATCATATTATGTAGTTTTTCACACCTTTTATCTAAAAATGTATTTTACAATTAATGGAACATCAGATGACAGTTTTGCCCATCAGAGGGCGACTTTATATTTGCCGAAACTTCAGTACATCTTGGTTTCTTAATAAAAATGTCAAGAATCTTGATTTTGTAGGGAATTCATATAAAGAAAAATAGAAAAATTCTACCCTAATAGGAAGTTTCTAAGATGTGACCCATCTTAGGGGGGAGAATATTTTCTGTTAGACAGGACTAAGTTTAGATTCCGTCTTCCTGCCATCTAGTACTTAAGTGCTTTAAGGCAAGTTTTTCATCCTTTGCAAGACTGTCAGATGGGAATAGCAATGCTGCTTTCCTCATAGGAATCTAAGAAGATAATGCATATGAAGCACATAATACAAGGCCTGACACATGACAATTGCATTGGAAATGCTGGTTCTATGACTGTCTCTAGGTAGTAGCAAGAGAGCACATAATTGAAGGCACGAGACCTGGGAGGAAAAGGAAGAAAACTACTTTAAATGAAATTTATAGCACTTCAGCAGTATATAAGCTAAGAATTATGAAGGGCTTTTAATAAAGACAGTGCTATATCTGAGGAGGCTGAACATATGTCTACCTTTGTATTTATCTCTCTGTCACGCATAATTTTTCACTCTGAAAGAAAAGGCTTAACTGGTTATTTAAGAAGATAATCCACTTTTTCCTTTAAATTTATTGACTTGTACACAGTTTTGGCTCTTCCAGTGTGGTTCTGAGCACTGTTTACTTGCCTTTGAGTTTTTCTTTAGAGCTCAGGTCCCAGAACTTGACACTGATTCAGGCTGCAAAATTTCTAACAGGCTGCTTTAGATGCACATCAGAATGTGCTGCTTTCATGATCTTGAAACCTGCAGCTGTGCTGTGACGTAGGCTGAACTTGACCCTTACACAGAAAACAAAACTCACCCGTGCAGGTGGGGTGGCTTCTTGTGGTTCATTCACAGACCTCTCTGGTCGGGCTTTCATTTGTTCATAGCAATTTTCATCCATTGGTTCTTAGGAGTCAAAAAGATCATGATTCACAATGGAAAAACAAAAATACATGACTTGAACAGCGTTTAGCTACAAATGTGAAATCTCCAAGGATCATTTGACTAGTCCTTTTCATGGCAATGCAAAGAGGTAAGAAAGCACTAAGTGTTCCCTGCATATCAGACAGTGGGGAAGTCTCACAGCATTAACCTTAAGACAGAGGGATAAAGACTAGATAATATTTATTTTTTTATATCACTGCAAGACATGATAACTTCAATTTAAACTATTATTTAGATGTTGTAGAGATCTCATGAGTTTAAGGGTTGCTTGTGTTTACTTCTATTTAAGTTTGATTGCAAACGGTGCATGGTAACATAAAGCACAGTGCACATACATTGATGATTACAATTTGGTAATTTTTTTCTATGAGTAAGAAGTTTTACTCAGAAGCATTTTGAACCCTGCATCCTATTGTTAAAGAAAAGAATTTGGATTATAATTTTTGTCCCATAAATCAGTGATAGGACAGTTCGGCCAGGTTGTTCTAAGGATCTGAGACTATATTATGCTGGCCTTAATTACTTGCAGTTTGTGTGCAACATCCAACAGCCAACAGACCTACACTCATTTCATCCTGTGGGGACATGCTTACTGAATCATTCATACCTTTCTTCCCCAGGTAGGTCTAATTAAAAAGGAGAGGAAAGACAGTTAATGACTGATAAGGATGGCCAGTAACCTGGCAGAAATGTGGATTGCACCAATTTGCCCCCATAGAAAAAAAGATAAATCTACTATAAGGTACCTCATAATTATCTGACCCTTTCCAAAAAGCAATACAAAAGAAAGGGTCCATAGAGTGTCGTGTCTCAAAGCATCAGCCATAGAAAACATGCATCAGAATCAGCTGGGAGGTTTGTTATATAACAGATTCCTAGGCCTTATCCTGGACTTACTAAATCAGAAGCCATGGGAGTGACTCCTGCACTCACTTAAATATGAAAATTATAGAAATAGTGAGCTTCCGGCCGCCAGAACACATAAGAAATTAAGTCCTCAGGTATTATTGTTGGGCACCGTGATAATGCAAGGTGAAACAGGAGGGAAACTTAATTTTAATAGTTTATTCCTGAAAAAACAGTTTCTGATTCTTTAAAGTACAGAGATCAGAGGATGACTTACAGTGGAGAAAAGACAAAAATTAAACAAATTCTTGGATCCTATAAAACTCTCACATCTCTAACTTTAGGATTAGAAGAATTCCACACTGTTTTAATATATAAAGATTCAGATTAATTTAGTCTATTCCTGGAAATCTTGTGTTTGAGACTCAGAGATCGACAGGAGTCAACCCCCAATTCTTCTGTCATGAATTAAGAGGAATGCTTGTCGGACAAGGGATTAAATGTTGGCATTACCCTCATGTCTTCTCTCATCAGAGCTCTGGGATCAGATCACAGTTGTCTGTTTTGAAGAATTTGGGGTGTTTTGTTTTTGGGTGTTTGGGATATTTTAAGTAATAAGAGATGCTGGGAATTGAAGAGACCTGTTATATAAGAACAAAAATGTCCAACCCACTCAGTGATAATTTAGCTCTTCTCTTTCCCCATTTGCCATCAATTTAGCCCTAGGTTCTCTACTTACAAAGAACGAGTTTAAAAAGGGAAACCAGAAAATGTGTTTCGTGTTCCAGATATTTCACTATAGATTTGCTTTTATATAAAGCACATAAAACACTGTTTCCTTGGGCCATTTTCTGTTCAAGAAATAGCTTTATTTCATAGAATTGTGTGTGTGTCAAAATTCATGGTAATAGAGCCTTCCTGTATTCTCATTACTATACAGTAAAATAAAGAGATTGTAGAAAACAGGATATTAATTTACACTGAATGTTGCAATATAATTTACAACATGCGGCTTTGGTAATATATGCTAAATAATATGCTAATCATACCTAAATTTATGATTATCATTTGGGATATTTAAATATTATTGTGACAAAAAATAGGCCACCTTAAATTCTTGTGGAATTAAGTAAGGGATATTTATTTATAGGTAAATAATTTCTGGAAAAATAAAACTTACCTGGGACCAGATTATCTAAATTGCCATAAATTGGTGTGTCTTCAACATAATACTCATCCTCCCTATAATAATGAAAAATAATTTACTTTATTAGAATTCATTTTACAATTAATTTTTAACCAATTTCAATATTTAGTGAATTACTGTTTTGGTTTTTTTTTTTTCAGCCTTGGCCAACCAAGGTGCATATGTTTATGTCTGAGTGAGTGAATGCAAGTGTATCATCATGTCTGCATGCATGCATGTATATAAGTTTGAAAAGTTGTTTTTTGGTCATTCTTTCAAGGGAATAATGATACAAAGTACTTACTGTTAGTCAGAGGCTAATTAAAGTGCATTTTATATATTTATTCATTTAATTCTTACAATAATTTGACCAGATAGACGCTCTAGCATCCCTATTTTAAAGGCAAGGAATCTGAGGCACAGAGAGGTCAGATATTTGCTGAAAGTCACAATAGTAGTAAGTTGTGGAGCTGGGATTAGAATCTAGGTTATCTGTGCTCTTAACTGTACATTGTACTACCTGTTTATTTGCCCAGAATATCCCCTAAAACTATGTGAGCTAAGTAAATATTCATTGACAGGGATGTTAAAAATAAAAGGCCAAAGAAATATTGTAGACTCAGATTGGCAGATGCAATAAAATGATTGATCACCTATCACCTCCAGATGCTGAGTTGTTTTACAGATACATCAAAGAACGAGAGAAATTCTGCCGAAATACTTTTATTATTCCCCACTTTACAGATGAGAAGCCTGAGGTTTCTAGAGATTAACATAGTTTCCCTAACTTTATCAGTAATATCAGCAATAACTACTAATCATGAAAGTTTTTCTTATGCCAGTGCTCATTCAAGCTTCAGATTGAATTTTGTGTTTATCCTTGCTGTGTGTATAGGAATTTGCAGCTCCTAGCGGTAAATTGTCCAAAGACACACAGACAGGAACTGGCAGTGCTAGGACTGTAATGCAACCCTGATCTTAAAGCCCTGAATGCCATTTGCTCTTGATGTTTTATTAAGTTTCCTCACAGACCCATCTGAGTAATCCTGTTAGGATTACTGCAGACATCTCACTATTGTCTCCAAACAGTAAAGATAGCCCTGGTGACCAGCTTTCACAAAAGCAAGTCTGAGAACAGAGAAACATATCAGGCACTGAGAGTGGCATTTCATAAAATAGTAGCAACTGCTTTAACTTTGCGATTACATATCACTGAGAGCTGGAAGGAACTGCATCAAAAGAAAAAAGAACTCTTATCTCAAAGCATAACACTATATTATTCTCCATGCTTCTGAAAGAAGACACAATATATGTAAATAATAAGTATCTGTCCCTAAAAAAATTGTGGCTCAAATGATACCTGTATTAAATGGTTTCTAAAGTCCAGATGCTGACATGTATTTCCCTTATCTTATAACAAAGGAACTTATCCATGACCTTTCTTTTCATAGGTAATTCAATACATCTTAATATTGGGATACTGAGGGGTCTCTGTTCATGGTTTTTCTCTGGCTATGCAGAGGATTTAATAGCAAAAGTGAAGAATTTTTAATAAGATAATCCATTCATTTTCCTAGCCCACATAGATAGCAGATATGACCTGCAAATGATAAATCATGTCCAAAAAATGAACATCATTTCATTCTTTATGAATGAAAATAAGATGTGATTTATAATGCAGTGCCCTGTGTCTACAGACAGGTCTCAAATCATCTCAAATAAACCATTATTCAGGGGTAGTTGCCTAACCAATAAATTAATATATATATATATATTATTTATCAATGCCAAATAGCTCCAGCATATTGCAAATATCTAACAAAGTTCAAGCATAAATGCTTGGCAGTATTTTATGTAGAAGATTAATTACTATTAAAAATAAACTAATAAATAAGCCCATATCCCAGAGGCCAGTGCATCTCTGAGTTTAGGGACAGATCAGATTCCCCGTTGATCTGAACATGTCTGAAATGGTCCTCTAACCAATAAATATTCAAAGACACTGCAAAATTTAAAATAATATTTTCTTTTACTAGGGTCCAATTTTTCTATTTTCATATATATATATTTTATCACTTCCATTTTTTAAGATTTTTATTTATATTTTATTATTATTTTATTGTGAAGTTATTTTTAGAAAAATGCCTTAATACTTTATTATCTAAGTAGATTAAATAATTCAATTCAGTTTATGAAAAAAGCATTACTTCTGCCAGGGTGACTTTGGATATAAATTCTCTGAGTTTCAATTTCCTTATTTATAAATCAAGGATATTAAATCTATTTAATGCCTATTTTTTTTAAACTCCCAAATTCTATGATATAAATGTAAGGTTCCAATATCCAAATAAAGATGAAAGATATTTCACAAAACTAAGTAAAGCTATTTTGAAGGACTGAAAAGTTGTCAGATTGAGGAAAGAACAAGTTTAGGGGCCTATAAGAAGTTGGTTCTGGTGTTGACTTGCTTAATAGATATTTCTTTGAAAAGGCAGATATATGTCTGGGCTTTCAGAGCAATAACATCTAACACGAAATTTTTATGCTCTTGATCTGTGTTCAGATTCCCTTCTAATATGCCCACTCTTTGTAGAGTCTATTAAACACAGACTTTGGAGCACTTAAAAAGAAGGACCTTTTGCCAAAGTGCGGAGGAAAGAAGACTGGAAAGATCTGTCAGAATAAAGAAGTCTAAAGAGATGGGGAAAGAATCCCAGACCTATGACAGAGAGTAACAAAAGGCAACTGAAAATAAGATTTTGGGAACTTATATGCACTTCTCAGGGATTCCAAAAAATACTTAGGAAGGGACTGGACTTCTTGCAGTCACACAGGGTTGGAGCTCGGGTTATGGTTTATTCGCACATTAAGACAAAGAAACAGAAGGCTGGCAACTTGGAGATACTTTGGTTACAAGTGTGACAGTGATCACAGTGAGGGCCTCAACTGCATATCTACTTGGAAATCTGAGATGTCAAGGAAGGCTACCCAGGAGTTCTGTGCCATAAGGATCCTCAACTCTGAGAACAAGCAGAGTACAATGTAGACTAAAGATCTGCTCCAGGGTGTTAGGAAAGTATATTTAGCAAAGAGGGGAAGTTATAGGGGATCCCCAGCCTGCAAGCTCCAGAAATTCAATAAATTATCTTAAGGTAGAAGAATAGCTAAGATGAGATGTGTTTTGTGATAAAAGCACTTTTCAGTGCCACTTAGTTGCAGACCAGAAAAAAACCACTGGGAATTTTTCCTAAGTGTTTGAAAGAGATTCTGAAACTGATGGGTCATGATAAAATTAAAGAAATTGTCAACCTGAATTGCTTTTCTAAATTTGAGGCTGAATATACCTTAAATGGGTAGAAATTTTCACCCAATAAGGCAGTATCTTTTTTATTGAATACACTTTGTAAGGAAAGTATTATATTACTATTTGTATTTTTCAGATGAAGTTTAACAATGCTCATTTTCTTGAGACTATAAATCTAGTAATTATGAGTTGGATTAAAATCCAAAATTGTATGGATCTCAAATTCATGCTATTCACACTAAATCATCTTTCTAACACACACCAGAAGACAAGAATTGTATAAAATTGTGTTTTAAAGGAAAAATAAAGTGACACAAGGAACAACACCAAGAAGGGTGTGTCTGACTTTCTGTTAAATATGGATGCTACACTGTCCTTAAAGCTTGTTTCTGACTTACTAGTACTGGAAGGACAGGGAGTTGAGGAAGCAGAAAGAGAAGATCAGAGGAGCACATTTCTTCCCCTCCCCCGCCCCCCACCCCGCCAGCATAGCTTCCCACGTAAACCAATGTTGAGTAGGGGCAGGGAGAGGGTTTAATGGGGAACCCTAGTCTCAAACCATCTAAGAACTGAGGAAACATAGTAATTCTAGCTGGACTTAAGAAAAGTTCTTATTTCCACTTTCTGTTTTAATGTTTAAATATTAATGGTTGGACATAGTTTAATGTTTGTTTTTCCTGGGGCCTCCATGCCCTCCTACAGAGGTGACTTCAACTCCCAAACTGTATAATAAAATAGACAAGCTGTGAAGTACATACATAAATGTGTTAATTAACATGCCAACCACTTTTTATAGATAAAATCTGCATTATATATTCAAATTTTGTCTAGATGGGGATTTATTATAATAGATTATTAAATCTTTAAAGGAAGGATCTGAATCTTTCCATCTTTTTACCTCTATTTTCTAATACAGTTCTTAATTTCCTGAATGAATATTTATTGAATGAATGACTATTATAAAAGAACCAGCTTCTTTTCTGTACTTGGCCTACAGTTAAGAGCCTGCTTGCTTTGAAATGGGTATTTTACCAATTTTCTCTTCTGACTTTTACCAACCTCATCCAAAAACTACCATCCCAGTCTTTAGCAGAATGATCAAATCAAAAGATTTTCTGTCATATTCCTTTCAAATGACAAGTATCAAATCAGTCATCAGATTAACTTCTACGTGGTAATGTAGGATTTTGTCACATTGTTTATCGTAACCAAATCATCAAATTACTCTTGATTTGAGCTAATGATGTGAAAATTATCATTTTATAAAATCCAATATTAAGAGTAGTTCTAAAAATAAAGACTTTTTTTGTGTGTGGCTTTGCCTGCAGCCCAGATCCTGAATTTGCCAGAGGCATTTCCCCATGGAAAAGAAAAAAGAGAAAGACCTTTTAGAGGCCAACAAAAGCTTATAATCTTATCCCACCCAGTGAGGAAGTTCTGTGTTTTTTAAAGATCTTGCAGTCTTTCAGTCTACTGTTTCCTAGAGTCCTCTAGGAAATTCTCTATATTTAGAGTCTTTTTTTTTTTTTATCCCTAAAGAGAACTCTACAATCTAATGACACATTTGGGTCAAAATGTACTGTCTAAGAAAATGAAACTTCTTTACTATGACTTATACCATGAACCTTGTTTTTTTTAAAAAAGAACCACACTATACAATTCTTGTGCAACTCACTCAGTAAGTATTAAAGAGAATAAGTTATATTTATAACCACACATTATTTTAGTGTTGATTTATCTTATTTCCCTAGTGATTGTCATGACCCTTAAAAACAGCACACCACGAAGCATCTTTGCCTTATGTATGTGTGTAAACATATCTTAAACTTTATTAGGTATTGCCTGAGTTCTTAAGGGTCACAAATTCTATACACAATTAGACTGTATTCTTACAATCTGATCTGAATCTCATTCCATCCTTCACCTAGCACTCTCATTGACTCAGGATGAGTACATGACTAAGGCAGATAATAATGCTATAGTTTTTAATTTTCACATGAGAGTAAAAGTAATCAAAACTCACTTCTCATTTTATTTTTACCCAAATACTATATCCCTGAGCCAAATCTAAAACAATATAGCATTTGTTACTTTCCCTTATTACTTGAGAATCACAATACATAACTTATTTTCCACGTACCTGAGAATGTAGTCATCGTGGTATCTGTATATTTTACCTGAAAGATATTCAAAACAGACAAATTAATAGAAATTTTGTCATACATTTGTTAAATCTTCTAAAGAGTCTTATGAGGGAGGCTTAGCCTCAATGTCCATTAATACCTTCAATAAAGCTACTCGGCCACCATAGCTTGAACTAGAGATAAAGATTTCTAATTTGGGCCAATCGTATTCCATATTCTTTCTTGATAACTTGGGATGGAAACACAATGCAGCTTGGAAGTGATGTAGAACTCGAATGTGTAGCCATTTTATGAAGGAACCAAGCTAAGAATGCTGACCTCTGTCTCTGACTTCCAGTCCATTGTGAGGCATGGTTGTACTTTCTGCTATTGGATTCCATGAAGGACTTCTTCTGCCTTCTCCTGACAAATTTCACTCTTTGCCCTTCCTGATTTGAATAGGCTTTGCTTCCGTGCCCTCCTTCCCCCATCCCCTAAATCCCTAGAAGACACTATCTATTTATCTATTATCTATTTTTAATGTGTCTGTTTATATTTCTTAGCATGTCAACAACAACATAAAAATGATGTTCAGGAAGTTGCTCTGGTCATGATTCCATTTCATCCACATGGTACAAATAGAAGTAAGGAGAGATGAGGGCTCTAGGGAGAGCTGGAAAAAGTTGGGAACACTGTCTCTAAATTTAATCAAAACAGTAGAATGTCTTTTAAAAGAAATAACATGCTGATCTGTAGTAAGAAGACTGACCAGAGATCTGATGTAGGATTGTAAAACCATGAAAAACTTGTGTACCAAATCTCAAAGTAACCTATTGTTGAATCGTGAAGGTGGTGGTTCAAAGACAAATAAAAGAAAATATTTTTACTTCAAATTAAATGTATGTATTCAAAATTGGAAAAATAAATTCATTTTTTTAGTAAAAGCAATAGATTTATAATGAATTATTAAGAGAAATTCAGAATATGATTTAAATAATTATGATCAACATTATGAAAGACTGTATATTGTCTGTTTATCAATATATTTTCTTTGATGTTGAACTGGACAGATGTATATAGTGTGATATTTATTATATTTTGATTGTATATTATTTAACCTGGCATTAAATAAAAGCCAAAACCTTGCAAAAGTTATTTCTATAAAATGAAGCCCAATATTATCTAAGTCTCTGACGATGACTCAGACATAATGGTAACCAAACAGTGATCTTTCAGCTCTAACATATGAAAAATAGTGTGCAAGTATTTTGTAAAGAACAGCAAAAACCTTTCCAAATAATTGAATAAATCACCAAACAGCTGCAAAGATTATTTTTAGGTAGATTTCTATGATACAAAGTTAAGTTATTCTCCAGAGAGGTCATTAATTGTTAGAAAAACATTATTGAAACAAGTTTTTAAAGTCATTACATTGGAGGATGAACTGGACATGTCACCTGTCAATGTGTTTGGAATAATTCTGTGAAGGACCAAAAGGGGGAAGTTTTTGCAGACCATACACATCAAGCAGTTATGGAACTAAAAATGATTAATATAATTCACTGCTGATATATCCAAAATACTCTTCTTCTAGCCCACAGGAAATGCCTTACCAAAAGCTGCATATGAAAGTTGCAGTTATTTTCAACTATCTTCAGATTAGATATGAGTATGAATGCACATGGATATTGGGGGAAGCCTGGAGAAGTCTACTATTGCACATAGCCACAAATTAATAGAAGCCCAGCAAAATCAGAAAGCTTGAGAAACATAAACAATATCAATGAGCATAAGAACAAAAAGTAGTTAATATAGACCAGAAAATTGTAAACTAAAAAATATAAAGTATATGTTGATTTCTTTTTATGTGACAGAAATATTTATACTTAGGTCATTAATTGTTCTTCATATTTGCCTAGAATGAAAGTGCATGTACAAGAATTTTGTCAAACCATAGCCTGAGGTATCATAGAACAAATTCAGAGTGAGAAATCAGAAGACATTGTATTAGGTAACAGCTGTTCAATGCACTTGCCATGTGACAACATGAAAATCACTTTAGAATCTGATTCTGTTTATCCATAATGTAAGGATAATAATGCCTGTATTGTGCAAGTAGATATGGAAGATAAATGAAATAATTTCTGTAAAAACATTTTAGAAAATGACAGTTGATTTTCGATATTATACATTCTAAATCCATATATATAACAAGTCACAATTTCATTGTGCTGATTTGATTTGGAAAGTTCTTTCATAAATAGATTCGTTGAGAGCAAGCTGATATAATTAAGATACTATTTTAAAGGTAAAAAGATTTAGAAGTAAAGCTTGGTTTGGAATGAAATAACCGAATCTCATTTTTAGCAAGAGAATGATCACCAACTGAGTGTTAAATTGAAAGTAAAAATAAAAAATAAAGAATTTGAAAACAAAAGTAAAGAGTGACATTACTTAAATAGAATAAGAAAAAAAAGGTATGGAGTAAAAATATTTTCACAAACAGATTAATAGTTTTAAAAGATAGTGTGGATTTTCCAGTTGGAGGTGCTTGGAGTATGAATGTTTCTGCCTGGAAAGTATACTAATGTAATGAATAAAAGGATAGCTCTATAGAAAGGAAATGTAATTGGATGTATTATCACCAAAGAAAAGCAAAAAAAGTTTTAGACCAAAAATCTTTGTGGGAAAAAGGAAGTAGAAACAATTAGATAAGGGATACTATATCATAATGTGACGATTGAGTGGTAGGAAAGAGGAATAAAACAATGTGAAGAAGAAAATAAGTAACAGGTAAAAAGTATTATATGGCAAGATCAACTATATTGAAGAATTATCCTGAAAGGAAACTAAAAGAAAAGTTCGAGGATACCACCACACTCCATGCTACTCCTACACTTTAAATGTGTAATATGGAGATGGACTCTCAGTACTTGTGTGGTTTTAGTTTTACAATACTTACTATAAGAAGTGTGATAGAATATGACCTCCTATTCTTAATATATAGGATATGACCTTACTAAGAGGAATAATAGTTAAAAACGTTTAGAGGCTACAACTAAAGAGAAAGATCAGCAAACTCAAGCTCCAGAAAAAAATTTGCTCTGCCGTGAGAGCTTATAAGTCTATTTAAAAATAAATGGAATGATTTAAAAGCTACCTAGTTATTTCAATGATACTCAGTAAAACAAAAAGCAGTTTTTATTTTGCTATAAAGGAGTTACATTTGCAAGATTCTGTGCAAGAAGAGCTGAGATTTCATAATCCTCTATGATTCAGATACAAACACTTGTGGTCAGGTTCAAGGTTGAGAGGGTGTGAGCAAACATTTGCTTTTGTGTTTTCTCCTTTATAATATTAACCCTTCCAGGCCCAATGCATAACAACAAGAAACAATAGCAGGTGACTGAAACTCCATAATAAAAAAAAAAAATTTGATACATTTTTAATGTGAAAATGTGAAAAAAAATGTACCGTCATATTCTAGTGAATAGGAGATAAACTGATAAGACTTTGATGTACGAAAGTCTTATGATGTATGAAAACCATATACTTGTTTTTCCTTCTCAAAACAGAGAAGAAAGGCTGGACAAAGATTTTTTTTTTTAAATGAGGAAAAAGCTAATGCAATCGTATCAGAAAAAAGAAATAAATATAATCCTCCTAGAGAACATATTTGGACAACAATTCACATAAAAATGAAAGATTTATTTCCTGGGGAAGGAAGAACTCCATTTCAAAGCTTCTACCTAGCACGGCTACAAAAAAAACATCAAGGAGAGGCTTATCATGTCTATCTGATTGAATGTGTAGATATTGTATTGTTGCTGGGATAGAGATTGTCTTTTGTATGCTATTTAATATACCAACAAAACTTACTCACTGACTATTTGCCAAGGTGGAGTCATATCTTGCAAGTTTCTTAGCCACAAAGAATAAAGATGCAAAAATAAAAAGTTACGCGAGACCAGGCATTGCATTCTCAGACCAAATGGCAAAAACGCTAGCTAATATGATTGGAATCTCTTCTAGTCTGTCTGTCTAGGAAAAATAAAGCAAGGAGTAATTTTCAAGAAGACTGGAAAGGAGTCGGTTTGCAAAACTAATCCCAAACCACCCAGAATCTCTGGTTGAGAAAGATAGTGCTATTCTCTCATGTGTGATAGAAAGGAAGGCAGTTATTACTAATACTTGGGCATAGATGTTAGGAGAAGTTGCAGTGGTTGGGAAAGAACTGCAGAAATAAAAAGAGGAGGTGGGTTTGGATTTAAAGAGGATTTTATGAATTTGACTTCAAAGGCAAGGAAAGTAAAAGCAAAAATAAATGAATGGGACTATATTGAACTAAAAAGTGTCTGCAGAGCAAAAGAAGCGGTCAACAAAATAAAGAGACAACCATCTGAATGGGAAAATATATTTGCAAGCAACATCTCCAATAAGTGCCTAATATCCAAAATATACAAGGAACTCATACAACTCAACAAAAAACAAACAAACAATCCAATCAAAAAATGGGCAGAGGAGCTGAACAGACACTTCTCCCTAGAGGACATAAATTGGCCAACAAGCATATGAAAAGGAGCTCAACATCGCTAGCTATTAGGGAAATGAAAATCAAAACCACAATGAGATACCATCTCACACCTATTAGAATAGCTGTTATCAACAGGACTAGTAATAACAAATGTTGTAGAGGATACGGAGAAAAAAAGAACCCTCATACACTGCTGGTGGGACTGCAAATTTGTATAGCCAAATGGAAAACAGTATGGAGGTTCCTCACAAAACTAATAATTGATCTACCATATGATCCAGCAATCCCTTACTGAGTATTTACCCCAAAGACTTGAAAACTCATATCCGAAAAGATAGTTGCACACAGATGTTCATAGCAGCATTATTCATGGTGGCCAGGACATAGAAACAACCAAAGTGTCCTACCATAGATGACTGGATAAAGAAGCTGTGGTACATATATACAATGGAATATTACTCAGCTGTAAGAAGAGCTCAGCCATAATAAGAGATGAAATACTGCCATTTGTGACAACATGGATGTACCTCGAGATAATCATGCTAAGTGAAATAAGCCAGACTGAAAATGTTGAAAATCACATGATATCACTTATATGTGGGATATAAACCTAAAAGCAACAAACGAACAGGAAAAACAAACAGAGATTTATGAACATGGACAATAGACTAGGAGGAGGGAGGTAGATGGGGAGAAAGGGGTCAAATATGTGGTAACAGAAAGAAATCTAACTATGGGAGGTGAACACACACTGCAACATATATATACCTTACTGACAAGTTGTACATCTGAAACTTACTGGATTTCATTAACTAATGTCACCATAAAAATAAATAAATAAAAAATAAAATTAAACAAACAAACAAACAAACAAATAAATAAATAAATGCACATACGATTAAAAAAAAAAGTTGATACAACTGATAAGTGGCAGACAAGCCTGAATCTTAACCTGGGTTGGTGTATTGGAGTGTGGTAAGGTGGTCAAATATGTGATGATAGAAAGAAATCTAACTATGGGAGGGGAACACACAATGCAATATATATATATGCCTTACTGTTAAATTGTACACATGAAACTTACTGGATTTCATTAACCAATGTCACCCCCCTCAAAAAAAATTAAAAAAAAAAAAAGAGGACGTGAGATGAGAACAAAAGGCATTCTATTGGCATCAACAAACCTTGCTCCAAGGCTAATCTCAGTTTTGCATGCTAATAAAGTACAAGACACAGCGCTGTGTGCTCCACCTAAAGAGGACTCATTACTACTCGAATAAAATAATTTGCAATAGACTAATATTTAGAACCAATTCCATGAAAGCTCACAGAAATCTCTACGATGAGCCTGTATGTGACTTAAATGAACATAACAGTTATTGCTAAAACTCGGATGATTGTATAGATGTGTTAAATAATATAGAGATGGGGGCAGGAAGTGAGATAGGAGCTAGAGAGGGCCTAGAGAGTACAGGGACGGTGGGAGCGGCGGAGAAGCTAGTAAACTAACATTTACTGAAATGACATTACAATTAAATCGGATAACAGGTAGCCACAGCAAGTCCTTAAAAATGTGTTTGTAGAATGAAAAAAAAGAAGCACCAGGGCCACCAAGAATGGTGACATGGGCTGTACCCTGTCCAGGAACAACCTACTAAGTCCCTAGCACTGTGCTGAGGTGCAGTAGTCCCCCTTATCCGCGGTTTTGCTTTCCATGATTTCAGTTACCCACAATCAACTGTGGTTCAGTAATATTAAATAGAAAATTACAGAAACAAACTATTTATAAGTTTTAAATTGCACTCTATTCTAAGTAGCGTGATGAAATCTTGAGCTGTCCCGCTATGTCCCACCTGGGATGTGAATCATCTTTGTTCAATACATCCACACTGTATACAATCCCCACCCCCTTGGTTAGTCACTTAGCAGCCATCTCGGTTATCAGATCCTCTGTCGTGGTATCACAGTGCTTATACTCAAGTAATCCTTATTTTATTGTTCTTGTCCTATTTTATTATTAGTTATTGTTGTTAATCTTTTGCTATACCTAATATATAAATTAAAGTTGATCATAGGTGTGGATGTATAGGAAAAAAATATAGTATCTATAAGGTTTGATCCCTTAGCAGCCATCTCGGTTATCAGATCCTCTGTCGTGGTATCACAGTGCTTATACTCAAGTAATCCTTATTTTATTGTTCTTGTCCTATTTTATTATTAGTTATTGTTGTTAATCTTTTACTATACCTAATATATAAATTAAAATTGATCATAGGTGTGGATGTATAGGGAAAAAATATAGTATCTATAAGGTTTGATCCTATCCATAGTTTCAGGTATTTACTGAGGGTCTTGGAATGCATTCCCCATGGATAAGGAGGAATACTGTTTCTATATAATTCTCACAAGAACCCTAAAGTCTTGATGATATTTTTCACATTTTGTATGTAAGGAAACTGAAAATCAGAACTAATACTCCTTGTATAAGATCTCCCAGGTAAATATTGAAAGCATAGTTCTAATTCAATGTCAAGTTGGCTTCTAAAGTCATGATGTTAAAAACAACTGAGGGAACTGAAGTTGATTTTCAAAAATACATCAATAAATGTAATTTATTTTTTCCTATTTTTTTTTAAATGTTATTTCCAATTATACTACTTTTAGGCAAGGAGTCATTTCTGACATGCCTGAGGCAGTAAGGGTTAATACAATTGAAAGAAGAAAAAGAAACAAACAAAAAATCTATCTTTAAGAAAATTTAAAGCTTGCTTATTTTAGTTAGGCTACTAGCTTTTAACGATGATCAACTACCCATTATGAGCAAACAAGTCCCCAAAGGAGTTTATATGGTGGCAAAATGGTATGTAATGGGTACATAAACTCCAAAGCACGAACTACCAAAATGACAGTTGGAAAACCTATACACATCTCCAAAGGATTACCACCAGAATCAATGGAAGAGTTGAGTACTAGTTCAGATGCTTATTCTTGTGCTGGATTGTACCTTCAGTTATTCACCTGTATGGCTCTTAATTCACTTTTTCTATTTTAGGTGAAAATATTATCTGCATTCATAAAATATTTTAATAAAAATTTTAAATATATTCACTTTAAGCTATTGTATCAAGAGAAGTGCTAGTCTTAATTTATTTTTCTATAAAGAAAGGAAGTTTTTTTTAGAAGATGTTGATGGGTCATTTGTGCATCCGACTTAAACTTCGAAAAATATTTGATTTTAAAAGTATTTACTGAAATCATTGCTAATGAAAAAGTGTTGCTTGCCTGCAATTTCGTCTTAGATGTAGAAATGATCTAATAGAGATTCTAAAAGTGTGTTGAATTTTGGCTGAGGACATTTGGTCAACAATGCAAAAGCAACATCTGCTGGTAGAAATCATTTTGGTCAGAGAATTAGAGAAACTGAACACTCATCTTCGATTTTGCTATTAATAGATGTGTCTTCTCCTTCATATTTTACATTAATATCATCAAATTTAAGAAGACACTCCTAAGAGAATCAAATTCCCTTCTGATTCCTACTGAGCCTACTGCACTGATGGACACTGAGAAGTTTGAATAGGCTTGAGTGGAACCTTAAAGAGCTAGTCTTCGATTTTCTCATCACGCATCACAGAGAACCTTTATGGCTGCTCCAGAATAGACTAGTTTCATAGGTTATTCAATTGGTGGAGGTTAAATACATTTTACTAGGATAATCCCTTCCTACTTTACATCTTAAGGCAGAGATGAAATAGATTGGGAGTCTGTTTACATTGCTAATATGATTGCATTCCTTTTTTTAATTAACTAATTATTTATTTATTTATTTTTATTTTTTATTTTTAAAAAAAGTAAGATTTATTGAAAGTACATTTTAGAAGGAGAGCCACGCTAAGGAAGGTTGCAGCTTTTGGAATTAAGGAGGTGACAGGACAAGATAGTACACTCCAAAGGGAGAGGCGGGTTTCTAGCCAGGAGAGCTGTAACCTGCATTCTTAAATTAAGAGAGTCTTTAGGGTGAAAAAACATATGAAACAGATTTTCTACAGATAAGAATATCCAGCTGGATAACATTTTATAAAATTGTCTTCTTCTGTAGATTTTCCAGTGACTCAGTCTCCTCCATTCAAGCAGGTGCCATATGGTTATTTCTCAAAAAGTCTTACCTTGTCGCTTTTTTTCCACATAGTGGGAAATATTGAAGATCAGGGATAGAGCCAAAGCTAAAACCAAGAAGGCTAGAATTGCCCAGACATAAAACTGGCATTCAGAGTTTCCTGCAAACAAAAGCACACATACTGTTAATATATAGTAGCTGCTTACCTATTTGTTTTGAACTAGGTATTCTCACAATTAAAACCACTGTATTTATTCACAACGAAGGACAAATCTTTTGCCAAGAAATTGATTAACATTGAAAGCCAAAGGCTTCTTAACAGATTTTAGATGGGTATTGGTGAAGTCCCTGCATTCAGCACAAGCAAAGGAAGCAATTTTCCACATTCTTAGTGTTAATGACATGGAAGGCAGTTTTAGTCTAGCTACTAAAATTTGACAACTGCTGGCTATCCAAAGTCAAGTCTATCCAAATTATCCAGGATCATAATTTGCTATGATTTTCCCTTTTCTTTAATCCTCAGACTATAATCATACTTGCTTTCATTATTTACTGAAAATCACTTTTTCTTTCTATTAATCCAAGTAGTATAGGATACTGTGCGTTGGAATAAAACAATTCCGGAATCATAGTAACTCAGTTTTGTCAAGACTGGCCATAAGGAGCTTTTCTCATACTATTTAGAGCCCCATGAATGGATAGTGGAGAGTTGATTATGTTTCTTGTTCTCTGTGAAGTCCTCTTTTTTCATTCCTGAGCCATAAAGGGGGTTTTGTGGATATTATTGCCTATCAGTTGCTCATGATTTTTATGGCAGTCTTTATACCTATATGTGAGACTACTATGATAATTAGCTTGATTTTATATATGTAATATATTTATTAATATATAATGTGTTATAAATAATAATATCATACATAATATATAAGTTAAATAATTTATTTTATATAAAATAATTTATTTTATATATAATTACAAATATTTGAATACAATATATACTAGCCTAATTATTATAATTAGCTTATGCAATGTATATTATAATATACATATTATATATACATACATATATAATTAAGCTAATTATCTTAGTAGACATATACTCATGTGAATGCTGACTCCAGAAAAGTAAATTGTGATTCTACAATACTGTATATTTATGTATTCAATCAGTATCATTATTAATTTCTGATTACTGTTATTAAATTAATGATTTCTATTATTAAAGGCTTTTCTTTTTGTGTATGTCACTGAATGACCCATATTCTAGGTATAGTTCTAAGTCCTTCCACGTTTTAAAGCAATTTGAGGGCATACACTATATTTTCTACTGAAGCATATCACAACAATCATTTCAAGTTATTCAGTCAGCCAAATGTAGACTCTACAGTCACTGTATTTGGCGACATTTAAATAAATGATCTTTAAGTGCTACAAAGAAGCCAGACATATTATACGCATCATCCATGTTCAATGTTAAAGAACAGTAAACTTAGATAAGCAAAAACAAAAAGATGAGAATCAACCACAATCCTATTATGAAGAGACAATCACTGTGAACACCTTGGTTAATATACTTCCAAAGTTATTATTCTGTGTAGAAATTGTCACAGACGGAGACATAGGATTCCATTAAATTGCCTACACTGTTATCTATGTTCCCCTCAATAACTAGGGGTGCTTCTTTTCCTATAAACAAAATGTGCTTCCATTTCTTTTAGCTGCCTTATATTCCATTGCATATGTTTTCCATAGTTTATTAAAATCCTTTATTTTAAGATATTTAAGTTATTTTAATTTTTAGTTATATAAGCAATGTTGTGATGACTATCTTTAGCTAAAACTATATACCATCTTAATTTTTTTTAGGTAAAATTTCTTGCAGATGAATTGCTGGATTGAAGGATACACACATTTTAAAGGATCTTGGTATCTTTTTTTTTTCTCTTTTTTTCTTTTTTTTTAACACCTACAGCACCTGGTTTTCCTAGGTGATTTCCCATCCAAGTACTAACCAGGCCCAACCCTGCTTAGCTTCTGAGATCAGATGGGATCGGGCACGTTCAGGGTGGCACAGCCATAGATAGATATTGGTATCTTGATGCCACGGTTTTAAAACATAATATTAAGCAGACCCTTCTCAGGTCAGTCTGGCCTCTTTCCTGTTAGTTTGATTGACCCTGACATTGTATTTATGGCTCTTTCACTTAATCCACATTACATCAACTCTACCACTCATGATCTAGCTATCCTTCCACACACTGTTCCCATATATTCCCTTACTCTGTGATTACTGAAGAAAGTTGTCTTGTTGTCTTCTTTCTGGAGCATGTGACATAGTCTTTTAAGAAAAGGTGTCTGTTCCTATCTCTGTCCTGACTACAGAGGACATCACACTCTTTTTTCCTTACCATGAACTATTTCCCAAAATGTTACTTTAGGTTTTCTTCCTTTTTTAGAATTTATCTGCTATACCCACCCAGTAGTACACCATGCTCCAATCATTCTGAAGCACTTGTAATTTTTAGTAGATATCATACTTACCATTTCTTTTCTTTTTGTTTCTATATATTTGCCCCTTCGCCTGAAATGCCTTTCCCCTTACCCATCTGATGAATTCCTAGACATCCTTCAAGACTGTCTTCTCTTTGAAACATTCATTCAATGTACCTGTCTCCCCAGCAAGTGACATCTTATATCTCACTCCACATTTCAACAAATATTGACATAATCATTTATATATATAAATCTCTCCCCAACAGACTGTCAGCTTCCCAAAGGACAAAAAGAACATTATATTTATATTTGTTCCATGCCTCATTTCATCATTGTACCTATTGTTATGGGGATTGAATGAATTAAGACTTGTAATAAGATTTATAGAATGGTGTCTCTCACTAATAAAAAGCTCAATACATATTAGCCATTCTTATTCTTCTTATTATTATTATCTTCCTACTACTAAGACTCCTAACATTATTTCTGCAACCTATTTAGCACAAAGTAGGTGCTCACTAAACACGTGTCAACTGACTAAATAAATAAAAAATGAGTGAAGAGAATAATGGAATGACCAGGGCCAACAAAAATGTTCCGATCAAGTGTAAGGTCTAGAAATACCCACAACTCAGGAAAAACACTTTGAAGATTCTATTACATTTGTCTCTCGTAGTAGTGAGAAAGGACCTACGTTCCATGAGCTGAGAAATAGATCTTGTGAGAGAAGGGTAACTCATTAGGCCACTGTGACTTTGGCGAAAGTACTCATCAACAACATTCTAATTCTCTCTGACCCAAAACTATATATACATACATATTTATTTTTCAATTATAGTTGGCATACAATATTATATTAGTTTCAGGTGTATAACATAGTGATTAGATATTTATATAACTTATGAAGTGATCACCCCAATAAAGCTAGTCCATACATAGTTATTACAATAATGTTAACTATACTCCTCATGTTTTTCTTTACATCCCCATGACTATTTTGTAACTATCAATTTGTACTTCTAAATCCCTTCCCCTCTGAATCAATATAACTTACCCAAAAACACATTTCGCAGCTCATTTATTACTATAGATGACCAGAAAGTTGGTTAACATTAAGCATTTAATTGATGTATTAATAGTTTACCTTTGGCCAAATTGAGTGACTTGTAACTTTGCTTTAGAAATAGTCAAATCTAGATAGAACTACTGCATCAAATTGCTATGATATATTCTTTGAGACCTTGATCATTCACAGACACACATGCTGAAAGGATGCAAAACTGATTTTAGAAGGAAATTTTGACCCTGCCTATAGGTTCTCCCTGGATCTATCCCCGAATAGAGGCAGAATGGGCTTCAATGACTGGGACATGTCTTAGTTATGTTCCTAAGATTTCTTAAGAGAATATTAAACTTGCTTCCATTTCAGCTGTTGATCTTTCCTAACAGAAAACTGAATTTCAAGTTGTAGTTGGAAAATTAAAATTAAAATTCTTTTTTGCTCTTTTTGTTCTCTTCTATTTTCTATCTTCGTTATCAGGGCTAAATCAATCTCATTTTAAGAAAAAAAAATCCAACTGTATATAACTTGCCATTGAATTAATTAATTATAGTGATGCTATGGAGTAGAAGATATTGTTTAATATATTATTTTGATCTCAAGTATAAGAAGCTAGGGATCTCCTCAAGAACTGGCACATTTTTAGCCTTATAATCCATGTGAATATTGTCATTGGTCATCTGTCTGTATTTGTGCATTATTTGACACACAATCTAACTTAAATCTCTAGGATTATTTGATACTCATTTTTGTGAACTAATAGTATCCTTTGGTCCTTATTTTCCCTTTATTTTGATTTGTTTGGTTATCTTTTACATCGTTCTGTATATTTCTAATACTTCTCTTTCTGAGGGAGGGGTAAAAAATTAAGTAAATACATAGAAAATAATAACATCTCTAGAATTTATCATTCTTGAGAGAACTAATAAAATTATACTCCTTCCTATTTAATATTTTTTCCTTTTCATTTATAACAGTATCTAGTATTTAGTATATACTCAATAAATAGTTGTGGTTTGGATAAATAAAATATAGCACAGTATTCAAAAGCATACTTTAAGACAGTACGTAGAAAGCCCTATCTCATTTTTAAAATACACTGATTTTTAGCTATAAATTATCCTATCACTTGCACAAAATTATGTTTCAGTTAGAAGTTTCTCTTTCGTCTTTTTAATTAAAGGAAGCATTGCAAATTTGTAGTAGTCTTTTAATTGCTAAAAGAAGATAGTTTTCCTCTCAGCTACAAAGAAACAGCTAAATCAAAATCACAAGCCTACATTTTATGTAAAGCTTTAAGGAAAGACCTAATACTTGTCATGAAATATGTCAGCAACACTAAGACAAAAACTTGGACCACACTGTACGTTCCTCTAGGGCTGGCTGTCGTCATTTACTGTAACAGTAAATTCACTTCACATAACCTTTTAAAACACAGGGTAAATTCTAATATGTGATGTTGGTTTAGTATGGTCTCTAGTTTTCCTCTGATGTTAGAAGTCTATATTCTTATCTAACCATTTTGTTTTCCAAGATTTTTTCCTTTTGTAATATAATCTGAGTTTTACATAGGAAGATTTTCATTTAGAAGCTTTGTATTTCATGACTTTCCTGATATCATTCATAACCTTTGATTGACAACAATAAACATCCCCACTTTGAAAAATAAAATGCACACAGATGAGATTATTGAGTATATAAATGGTGAAGATTTTCAGCTTGAATGGCAGATCTGTATAAATGTTCACACACACTCACACACACACACATACACACATACTTTACACCTTCCTCACATAGTTATTTTCCATATGCAATATTAATATCACCAGATCCATGTGGGTATCTATTCAGTAGATAAAGTGCTTCTTGTAACATTGAATGCACAAAGTACTCAAAAGTTCTTGCCCAGAAAATGCAATCTTTAGTATTATTATTCATTAACTGTAGTTATTTTCATTTGTATAGCTTTCATCAATTTAAAAAGAACTCCCACACAATTTGAATTTAGCTATTTACACTGTTAAAAAGCCAAAAGCTTTAAGAAGTTATTAGTGAGGTAAAGACAGCTAGGAAAATCACAATTCAACCTTTTCTATCTAGTTTTCAACTGCCAAGGGCTAATAGTAGTAGGTTTAATTATAAGACCTCTGACTCCCTTAAAGCCAACAGTATTTGGCAGGCATTGTATTTAAAATTCACAATTATATGTACTCTGGAAGGAAACCCAGCCAAGCAAATGCAATGTCTTTCTGCTGGCAGGTTTGATTCTTACAGAAGTCTGACTTAAATAATTTACAATAGAAAAGCAATAAATATAATGCTTTAATTCTTTCTCCTTCGAGGAGTCTGTAATTGAGACAAGTGTATGAGTTTATAGTATAAAGGATATGGCTTTTCTTGATGGTTTCTCTTCCTTGGCTTATAAACTCTGTCAGAGCAGTGACTACCTCTCTTTTGCATTCCATGAATGTGTATATTTATTTTAGGCAACCCAAAAAATTCAAAGAAAAAATTCTGGTATATCAATCTCCATGGATTCTACTCATGACTTACTCTCACTGTGGTGAGAGTTTGGTGCCGAACTAGGCACATTCTTGACTTTTGGAATGTAGCACGTTGCTGCTGTCCACACAGCTCCCCCACAACTATCCATTCTATTACACCATCCCTAGAACGCACTCGAGTCACAGGCATACTGCAAGTGATTCTCGTACCCAGTCCCAGGCTTTCAAGTAAATAAGATATTGTTTTAATGCAAAATTTGAATCTGTCAATCTTAAATGGGTGTCTATTATAAATAGTGCATTATTTGAGAAATGAATGGTGTATGTCTGGGAGGGGCCGAGATGAGGAGAGGGACAACAGCAATATGGTTCACCGGAATATCTGTTTCAAACACTGTGGAGAGAGAGAATGAGTGTCACTAGCTGAGTGACTTTGAGCAAATCACTGAAACTCACTTAAGCCACTTATAAAATTGGAGTTCAGATACCCATTTGTGTGACATCTAGGTTCTCTTTTTCTAGTACATCATGATTGCTCTTAATTAATATTTATGAAATTTAATTGAGGAAAGCGTATATTTGGGAGTGAGGTGCAAGGTATGTCATGATAGTATGTTATGATTCCTCCATTACTAGACTCCGTGTCACTTTTACAATTAAACTTTAATTGGAAGTGGTAAACTTCAGAAATCCTATTGGGATTGAAGTGATATCCAAATTTCTGCTGTAGATGAATCTCTTTTCATCTGTATTTAGCTACTTCGTTATATATATTGTTGTTTCCTATTGGAGAAACATCTTGGTAAAACCCTCTGAAGATGGCATGAGTATGTAGAAATTTTCATCCAACAAAATATTTTAACTACTATATTTCTTTAATGTCTTAGGAAGTCTTGTTAATTTTTTTCTCTTTTTAATTCAGGAATGCTGAGAAAACTAAATAAAATAAAAAATGCCTAAAAAAGTAATCAATAATATTTATTATTAACTGACAATTTGTGGACATTTATTTCTCAGCTATGACCATTAAGTGACAATCTTTCCTGGACTGACTTTCCTTAAAATCACAGCCAAACATCATCTAAGTTAAATAATGAAACATTGTTTCTAATCTATCTTTAATTTAAAGAACATGTGAGTTTAAGAGATGATTCATAAATTAGTCTTACCTACCTACTTTCTAAAAAAAAAAAAAAAAAAAGAAAGCTTTCATTGTTCTCAAAAAGGTGACTGAGGTTCAAGGGAAAACAAAGAAAAGACAATGAAAATTCTTTTTTAGAAAAACAGCATGTAACTATGGAGAATCATTGGTTAAAAAAAAATTAATGGTAGCCAAATGAATTGTTTTCACCACTTGATTCAGCTAATATTAATTTTACATAAATGCAGAAACATAGTAGAAATTATAATACCAGCACATTTATTGACGTAGTGACTATAAGTCATGTAAGTAGGAGAAAAGGAAAGATTTGAGTTTTCCTTTTCACATATTGCTTTAAATAACTAGGACAAATTTCACTTTTTTGTTTTATTCACATATTTTCTTTCTTACTTTACCCATCTAAAGGTAAAACATATTATCATCTTATTTCACATTAAGTTTTTTTTTTTGTTTTTTTTTTTAAGACTTGTGGAGCTTTCATGGCAAATACATTTTTATTACTTCTGTGGAATTGCAAAAGGTCTTAATTGTCAATGGCAGAAATCCTGTATTACAGCTGGAGGGAAAATCTAAACTACAAAATGCTATAGAGGAAATTTTACCATATTCCGTATAAAATTAGAATTAATACTGGAAATAGTTGGATGTCATATTCACTGCCTTTAGCCTTCCTGAATTTCCCATCACCCTCAGCTCATGGCAATTGTTTATAGTATTGCTATGTCCATTTCTTGCAGGACACTAACAAAACTGGAATAATTGTTTTTGTCCTTTGCTAATCTATGAATCCTGAAAGAGATATGGAGAGATATGGAAACCATATGTCAGCTTATGCTCCGTGTGTGATTAATCCATTCAACTGGTTTTAAAATCCAACAAATAAAACACTGGGAAGCAAATTGACAGGAATTATAATATATAATATCTTTATAAATGGCTCATACAAATTGATATTAAAAGTACTATAAGTGCAATAATTAAGCAAAAGATGTAATCAGACAAATTACTCTTACTCAGTAATTCCAATTCTAGAAATCTAAGAAAATAACCCTTAATATAGGAAAAGCTACATAAATTTCACTTTTCTGTCATTTAAAATATAAAAAAAACTGAATGTCCAACATAAATATCCAACAATAAACAAGTAATTAGGTAAAGTATAATTAACCCAATAGATGTCATTTTTATTTTACTTAAAATATTTAAGCAGAAATCATTATAAAAAGGAAATGTTTATGTTATAATGCTTGTGAAAAGAGTTGGATTATAATTTTACATACATTATTATTCAGTTATGAAAAGCAAACCATGTAGAGTGTATAGAAATAAAAAATGGAAGGAAATACAACATAATATCTTGCGTTTTCTAAGGCAATGGGAACTACACAAATCTTTTTCTTTTTCATATATATTTCACTGTTCTCTTCCTTAATAAAAATGCATGTTTTCTCTTACCACAACAAGATGCTTATTAAAGAAATAAAAGTACATAGAATGAAAGAGGAATGAACCATAAATGTAGAACAGTCATGGCTAATCAATGTGTATTCGACCTTCACAATCCATTCCTCAAGTGGTGGCATTTCTCTGGCCTTTGCAAAATTGTCACTTCTAAATGTTGACAATTGGATTGATTTCTGGGAGGATAATATAGTTTTTAAACTCTGAAGAATTATAAAGTGGTTATTCCTAACCTGTTTTATAACTAAAGTAAACTAAAGAGGAATATTTGTGGTCAACAAAAGTTTCTTAAATAAAACAAATACTTTAAATGGCGTAATCATCAAAAAACACTGAACAGCTACAACTAGCTTTATATTATAAAACACTTTCCAATTTTTTTCTTTTAAGAGAATATAATCATTTATACTCGTTAATGCACTTCAAAATCTGTTATAATTATACTAAAGGTTATCTCAATTTTAAAAAATAGTATGTAAACTAATTTACTTTTCTAAATCTTAAGTGTTTTTGTTAGAGACTTAGAAATTGTTAAGTGAAATTTCAGACACAGGAATGGAACAAAAGAATTAAAAATGTGACTTACCTGACATGCTTGCTTTCTCAGAAAAATCCTTATGTCGCCATAAAGCAAATACATGGATTAAAAATACTCTCACAAACTTCTGTTTCTAAGTAATGTTGTTCTGTTATGTTAGAAGCAGTGTGGCAGTAAAACTTGTCTTTATCTGTACTTCGGTTTTTTTTCTCTCTTCTGTTTCTTAAAATCTTTTGTGTGTACTTTGTTCAGTTACAAACAGGAAATGTGGTGATGGAGGCTTCTAGAGTCTTGATCTGAAACCAGTAGGCTCTTAAATTTCTGTGTAACATGAGAAGGAAAATCCCATAATCCTCTGTACTGGGGTATTTGAATTTTTCTCAATACCTGAATCAATTTAAAAATAAATCATGAAATCAAGGTATGTATCAGACTAGGAGGGCTCTCCAATCTTTCTAGAGAGAACCCAGGCATCTCTTCATAAGTGAGTTCATATGAAAACAGAATAAAATATGCTAAACCAGGGAGGAAACAGTGAGAAGACCCCAGGTGTTCTCAGCTGTTGACTGTTTTCTTTGAGGTGTGACAGAAGAAAGGGAATTAACACTTTTTGAACATCGTTATGTATCAGCTACCTTCTTTACATTATCCCACTGAGAGATTGGGTGCCTGCCTTCCTTCTTAGCAACCCTCACCTCGGCCAATGTGAGTAACTCTGATCAATCTAGGCCTACTTGGCAACAAGCTCCAGCTCTCACCCCGGCCCCAGAATCTCAATAATCAGAAGATTTAAAATGTTAGTGTGCATAAGTACATTATTTGGCAGTAATTGAATATTTAACATATTTCCAAGCCCTTCTGAATGAGGATATTTTGAGTGGAGCCCTGGTTATTTTAATACAGTTTTTCTGGACAACACTGTGAGAAAATCATATATGTATACATATACACATATATATCAATTGTAGTCTTTTATTTTTAATATTAGTCAAGTAAAGGTAGTCTTGGTACTATCTATATTTATGATTCACATGTATTTCTGTGTATAAATATCTACTGCATATTGTGTGCCTATGCATATTTGCTTCTGTAGTCCACCAATTTTCTTAATTAATTTAATTTAATTAGAAGGATGAAAAAATAGAATCCAGACTATTACAAAAGTAGTAATTAAACTTTAAGAACTTAAACTTGAAGGGAAACTTTAAAATGAGACTTTTGATGCACAGACTCAGCACAAAGATATTAGATGGCTTACAGGCTATTTTACTCTAGCTGATTTCTCTAAGATTCTTAAACGCAGAGAGAGTATTGATCTTATCCATCATTAAAATTCCAACCTCTAGAAAAATGCCTGGCACACTGTAGATCTCAATAAATATTCTCACAATGATTGAATAAATTTTAAAAAGTTAGTCTGCTTTCTCTTTGCTTCGTTACAGAAACAGCTCCCTAGTAACCAAAATGCTGGACTTTCTTACTCTTGACAGAGTTACCTAAATACTAACAGATTTTTCTACTTCACTCACTTTCCCCAAAAATATTTCTTGTGAATCATTGAATCAGAAACTGTAAAACTGAAAGGGACCATGGAGATTTCCTAGTCTAATCTTCTAAAAAAAAGTACCTTCTATAGAACCCCAGGCCTTTAAGGAACTCTTGGAAAACAAATGTTCCTTCAACAAATATATTTAGAAATACTGTTATTTTCATCTTTATGAATGCAAGTACATTAAAGGCTTAGGTAAGTCCTACAAAAAATAAATCTAAAAATCATTTTAACAGAGTTTATTTCTAAACTTATTTTCTAAATTTATTTCTAAGCTTGAACATCAATCAGTTCAAGAGGAGAGGGTTCAGCTGTGGAGCAGCCTTGAGGGGTTGAGCTTTGGTCTGGAAATAGGATAACTGGCAAAGAGGTTAGGAGCCTCAGGCTCAAAAGTGAACTACATAGATTAGATAAGCAGAACCTTGGAACATGGGCAAAGTAGATGCCTATTTATGTCACTGAGACATACAGAGGACGTGGGAGAAAGAAGAGGGTCTCAGGATTGGAAATTTAGGTGTATGCATCCCCTTGTTTGAACAAGAACAGCGCATAGGATGAAAAAAAAAATAGAAGGAACAAGGATATCTCCATTCAGTGGTTCCATAAATCACAAATCCAAAAACAATAAGGGTGTTCATTATTTTGCTTTGGATATGGAGAAGTTCAGACGCAATAAGAATGATTCAGGTAAAAATGCAGAAATTCTGTGGTTATCCCAGGAGGGAGGTGTACCTCCCCAGACAACTCAACAAAGGAGAGACTCAAACTAAACCCACCAGTTGAAAGTGCCTGAAGGGTTTCCCTGCCTCAAGTCTGTAACCTTATACATACAAGACTGCAGAGATCTGGGGAATGCAAGAGCATAGGAGACATGCAGAGACCGAGAAGGAACATACCTTTCCTCTTCAGATCAATAAAACAGGCTGTGGTACACGTTGAGTAATTATCTAATGGCATAAACGAGTTAATGAACATGATGCTTGGTGTTTTCAAAACAGTAAAGCTTAGGCTGGTAAATCCGAACTACTTCACAATTTCCAATTATTATGATATTTTTGAAAAGTGATCAACATTACAGTGTTCCCTGTTCCAGAGATTTATGTATTCAGGAGATAGAGCAAGATTTCCAAGGTCACCCAGAAAGTCCATATTTGTGCATTAGATAGCTCCACAGATGTTTGAAATTTGCTAGGAAAAAAAATTATTCCTTTTCATTAAATATAGATGGATGAGCACATGGAGACATTATCAGAATATAAAAAAGCCTACAAGTTTGTTATGAAATACATTAGAAAGCACATTCAGAGATTTAAATAATAGCTTCATGAACCATGGTCAAATGATAAATAAACATGAGGTTCTGTAGTACTTTTTTAATGAGATGGGTTATCCAAATGAAGTTTAGAAGATAGCTAGACTAAGCAGAACTGTCCTGACAAACTTGAAGCAGTTAAAAATGTAGGAAACTTTAGGAGAAAGTATGTGAGTTTGATGGGCACCTGTCAAGAAATGAGAATTTTAAGGCCAACAAAATTAAGGTCTTGTTGCCAAAAAGAAAATGAAAAACATATCAAAATGGCCATTCAGAGCTTTCACAGTCAGAAAAATGGGTCATAGAGTACAAAAAGAGCCCCAGATTTCAAATCCTTCTTTTTAATGTCATCTATTATTTATTTATTTATTTCACAATTTTCTTCACTCTATTACTTTTTAAAATATTTTTTAATTTTTTAATTACAGTTGGCATATAATATTATATTAGTTTCAAGTGTACAACATGGTGATTAGACATTTATATAACTTACAATGTGGACACCCCAATAAATCTAGTATCCATCTGATATCATACATAGTTATTACAATATTATTGATTATATTCCTCATGTTATACTTTATATCCCCATGGCTATTCTATAACTACAAATTTGTACTTCTCAATGCCTTCCTCTTTTTTACCCATCCCTCAACCTCCCTCCCATTTGGCAACCATCAAAATATTCTCCGTAGCCATGAGTTTGTTTTTCTTTTCTTTATTTTGTTCTTTAGACCCCATAGAGATGACATTTGCCTTTCTCTGTCTGACATACTCCTCTCAGCACAATACCCTCTACCCATGTTGTTGAAGGTGGCAAGATTTCATTCTTTTTTTCATGACTGAGAACTATTCCATTTGATATATGTACTACCTCTTCTTTATCCATTCATCTATTGATGGACACCCAGGTTGCCTCTGTATCTTGTTATTGTAAATAATGCTCCAATGAACATATGAATTCACATGTCCCTTTTAAGTAGTGTTTTGGGTTTGTTCGAATAAATATCTAGAAGTTGGATTACTGGGTCCTTCTTTGTCTCTTGTTTTATAGCCTTTGTTTTAGTTTATTTTGTCTAGTATAATTATTGCTCCTTAGCTTTTGATTGTTTGTTAACATTTTTATAAAATATATTTTTCCATCCCTTTACTTTCAGTCTATGCATCTTTCAATCTCAAGTGAGTCTCTTGTAGGCAGCTATGTAGCAGTCTTGTTTTCGTATCCATTTAAACACCCTATCTTTTGATTGGAGCATTTAATCAACTTATACTTAAAGTAGTTGTTGATAGATGTATAGTTATTATCATTTTAGTAGTTATATTTTTAATCTTTTTTTCTTTTTCTTCTTCTTAAAGAAGTCCCTTTAACATTTCTGGTATAGTGGCTTAATGTTGATGAACTCCTTTAACTTTTTCTTGTCTAGGAAGCTCTTTATCTGTCCTTTCATTCTAAATGATAGCTTTGCTGGGTAGAGCAGTCTTGGTTGTAGGTCCTTGCATTTCATCACTTTGACTATTACCTGTCAATCCCTTCTGCCCTGCAAAGTTGCTACCGAGAAATCAGCTGACAGTCTTATAGGAGCTCCCTTTTAGGTAACTAACTGTTTTTCTCTTGCTGTTTTTGACATTCTCCCTTTGTCTTTAATCTTTGGTGTGGGCCTCTTTGAGTTCCTCTTATTTGGGACTCTGCACTTCCTGGGCTTTTATGACTATTTCCTTCACCAGGTTAGAGAAATTTTCCATCATTCTTTCTGCAAACAAGTTTTCAATTTCTTGCTCTCTCTCTTCTCCTTCTGGCACCCCTATGATGTGAATGTTGATATATTTGATGTTGTCCTAGAGTCTCCTTAAACTATCCTCACTTTTTTTAAATTCTTTTTTCTTGTTGCTGTTCTGATTGGGTGCTTTCTGCTACCTTACCTTCTGAATTACTGATTCAGTTTTCTGCTTTATCTTATCTACCGTTGATTCCCTCCAATGTATTCTTAATTTCTGACTGGTTCCTTTTTATGTTTTCTGCCTATATTTTTATGTTTTCTATACCTTTGTTAAAGTTATCACTGAGTTCATCCCCTAAGTTCATTGAGCATCTTTATAATCAGTGTTCTGAACTCTGCATCTGGAAGACTGCTTGTCTCCATTTTATTTAGTTCTTTTTCTGGAGTTTTGTTTTGCTTTTTCATTCCAGACATGTTTCTTTGCCACCCCATTTTAGTTGTCTCCCTAATTGAAAACCTAATTGAAATTGAAAACCTGTTTGTTTCTATATATTAGAGAGGGCTGCTATGTCTCCTGGTTTTAGTAGAGTGGTTTTACTACTACATAAAGGTGTCCTGTCCTGTGGGGTTCAGTGGCAGTTCTCCCAGGTCACCTGAGTGGGGTTCTCCAGGTATGTCCCTTGAATGTGTTGTGTGTGCCCTCCTATTGTAGTTGAGTTTTAGTTACTGTTTGCACATTA